ATGGGGAAGTATTGTACTACATTGAACTCTGGAACTCTTATTTTAAAACCTTTGAGAGTGAAGAAGTCCTAAATGTGGGATAAAAATTTGATTAAATGTTTAAATCAAGAAAGTTCTATGAAAGGTTTAAATCAATAAGAAATGCAATTATGAAGGAGAGCAAAGTATTCAGCAGTGAGAGACTGTTCAGAGAAAAGAAGAACAAATAGAACTTCTAGAAAATAAAAATATAATTATCAACATAAAGAAGAGGTTAGATATAGAAACGGTGAAGAATATGAAAAAAGAATGCTCTGCCTAGATATATCTCAGTTAAACTACAAAGTTCCTCAAATATCTGGATAGCAGCCAGAGAGTATGAACAGAACATTAAAGGAACTACATAATGACAGAAGACTCTCAACAGCAAAACAAAGACTAGGAAATGCAAAAGCGCAGGCTTCATTAACATAAAATTGTGCTTAACAAAACACTCAGGAGTAAGAGCAAAATAGGCCCAATCAACCCTGGCGATCATTGGGCTGACAGATGTCACAGCCAGATCGCCCTTACATCCAAGGGATAGGAGCAAAACAACACTTGTAGGTAAATAAAAGCGGAGGGCAGTTTTTACTATGAGGCTTGCTCTAAAATAGTAGTTTTCAACTAGAGGCAATTATACCCTCCAAGGGATACTCTATTTAGAAATATCTGGAGACTGGAGACCCTTTTTTTCTTCCTTTCTTTGTCTTTTGTGCTAGAGATTGGATACAGGGGCCCTGTACCATAGCTACAGACAACCCCATCCTTTTTATTTTATTTATTTTTATTTGAGACAGGGTCTCTCTGAGTTGTTCACATTTGGCCTTGAAGTAGAAATCTTCGTGCTTGAGTGTCCTAAGTAGTTGGTTTGCTTGTAATCTTCTGGCCTCCAGCCTCCCGCTTAGCTGGGCTTACAGATATGAGCCACTATACCTAGCTGGAGACTTCTGACTGTCACACACATCTAATGAGTAGACACCAAGGATGTTCCCAACAGCAAGTAGTTATTTAGTTCACGGTTTCATAGTATAACTTTGAAAAACCTTCTAAAGGAATTTGAAGGACTATCACCTTGGGTATTGTATCTGGTCTCTAGCCTCTTTCTTTCTTGTGCTGTTCCCTTGCTCTGCTTCTTAGCCACTATGAACTGAGCAGCTTTTTTCCATCATGCCCTTCTGCCACTCTTGCCTTGGACACTTCCAGCCATGGACTGAATCCTCTGAAACTATCAGCTGAGTTAAACCTGTCCTTCTCTAATTCATGGGAATTGGGAATTGTGTTCCAGCAATGAAAAACTAATACATTTTATAAAATAGTTTTAATATGTTATGTGTGATGTTAATAAAAGCTACTTGAAATGTTGAATAGCAGTATCAGTTAAGTCAGGAGGAGAGAGTTGGAACAGAAGTGGTGTTCATAATTCTTCATTCTGCTTAGCAGGATGTTAAACTATTGTTTTAAGGAAAATATGTAAACTTAAGGGTGAATAATAAAAGATATAAATAATGTGGAAACTAGAGGAAAAAAATGGACTAAGGGAAAAAACAAACCACAAATTACTGCTGGAAACAGCAGCAAAGACAAAGGCAGAGTGAAAATGAATTATAAGAGATGGTAGAACCCAGTCCAGATTTTCAGATTAAAAAAAAAAAAAGAAACACTACTATACCAGTTAATCTTAATTCTTAGTTTGACTGGATTAAGAGACTCCTAGAGAGGTGATTAAGTCAGGGTGATTAATCTACTGATATTCATAGCTGAATATTCTATTAGTGGGGTTCCATTAGAGATGGGTCACTGGGACCATGCCTTTGGTCTGTCTCTCTCCCTCCTCCTTTCTCTTTGTTTTTGTTGTGAGACAGGGTCTTACTGTGTAGTTCAGGCTGGCATTGAACTCACTGAGCAGTCCAGGCTGGCTTCAAACTCACAGCAGTCCTCCTGCCTTACCTTCCAGAGTGCTGGGATTACAAGTATGTGCCACCGTGCCTGATGAGAGTGTATTTTTTGCTCGTGCTCCTCCCGTGTGCTCTGCTTCCAAGCCACCAAGAAGTGAGCACTTTGTTCCACCATGGTGTTCTGCTTTGGATCTTTTTGACCATAAATTGAATCCCTTGAAACCATGAGCCAGATTAAACCTCTCCTCTTTTAAGTTGTGAGTTTTGAGTATTTTGTCCCAGCAATGGGAAAGTTGCCCAATTCAGAAAGTTGGTACCAGAGAAGTGGGGTCATTATTGTGACTATACCTGACCATATGGTTCAGGTTGTGGCATGGCTACTGCTGCCTACTTTTTTGCTAGACATATAATGAGAATTGGGAGCAAAAAGCAGAACAGAAAACCCTGCTGGATTTCAGTCTGGCTTTGGTCATATTTTTTTCTATTCCCAATTCCTCCTCTTGAAATAGTAATATTTACCCTGTGCCATTTATCTTGCTTTTTTAACAATGGGATTAAGTAATTTGCTATTTATTGATTTATTTAGGGAACTGGGAATCAAACTCAGGACCTTGTGGTTTTGAGGCAGGTGGTGGCACCACTGAGCTAAATCCCTAGCCCATGCTTTTTTTATTTTATGGAGGTTCACACTAAAAGAATTTTCCTTGAGTCTCAGAGGAGACTTTGGGTTTTTTAGGAAGGCTGGAACTGTTAAGACTTTGGAGAAGCAAGAGCCGGGAACCTGCCTGGCAAGCACACGGTCCTGAGTTCAATTCCTAGTCCGGGGGGGGGCGGTTTGGAGAGGCAATTAGTGCATTTTTGTTTGTAAACAGGATAGTTAAAAAATGGTGGATGCAATTATGGACTTAATGCGGTATAGATTGTGTGGTTTAAGGAGATAGAATTAGGTGTCAGGTTGACAAGGTATGAAATTGTGCCAGTTAATCTTAATTATCAACTTGACTGGATTGAGAGATTCCTGGAGAGGTAACTGATTGTGGGGATGCTAGAGCTGAATGTGCTGTTAGAAGGTAGGGCCCATCTGGAGTAGGTGGGTTCCTGGGGCTGAGTCTTTGGAGGATGTATTGCTCATGGTGCTCTTCTCCTGGGCTCTGCTTATTGATTGTTTGTAATGATTATGTGGATTGACTGGAATGGGTCACTTTTTGTTTTTGTTTGTGATTTTTTTTGTTTGTTTGTTTTTTCCATATGGTAGCCGAGGTCTCTTCCATAGTTTTCTTCAGTGTTCATCCCAAGCAGTACTCCAAAGTATTCACTGGGAATTCAGGAGGAGCTACAAAATGACTGTTTTGGGCATGGTACTGAGGAACAAATTGCAGAGTTGCTCTTTCACTGAGATACATCCCCCGTTTTTCCTTCCTATTTTGTCTATCTGTCTGTCTATTTATATCTTTTTTTGAGAAGAGTCTTACAGAGTTGCCAAAGCTGGCCTTGAGCTTCTCATCTTCTGCCTCTGCCTCCAGAGTGGCTAGGATAACAGGCATGGGCCATCCCACACCCAGGGGTATTTTAATACTATCATATTATTCATTTTTAGTATTTATATTGTCTCACTTTTGGCCACTTAGAACTACGTCAGGTTGGTTTTGTGTTCTTCGACATGACCCAGTCATTCTGATAACTGGTTGGCTTTTTCCATGCTCATTTTATATACTTAAGGATATAGGATTTTTAGTATTGTTAAAATTTTATATAGATCTGCTGGGCGTGATGGCGCATGCCTGTAATCCCAGCACTCGGGAGGCTGAGGCAGAAGGATTGCTGTGAGTTTGAGACCAGCCTGGGCTACATAATGAGTTCCAGATCAGTCTCAACTATATAGTGAGACCCTGTCTCAAAAAACCAAAAAAAAAAAATTTTTTTTATATAGATGTATATTTCTTCAATATTGAAAATCTTAGTAGTTTTCATTTCTATTCTGGTGGTATTGAGAATTGAACCCAGAGTGCTGTACCTGAACAACATCCATAGCTATTTATATTTTGAGATAGGGTCTCATTCAGTTGCCCACATGGCTTCAAACTTGATCCTCCTGCCTCCACTGGGATTGCAATGGCGAGCTGTTCCACCCACTGAAAATCTTAAGTTTTAGTATTTATATAATTTTTAACTTTTTATTTTTTACTGCCAGACTGTGTAATTATTTAACTTTTTTTTTATATATAGACAGGGTCTCACTTTGTAGTTCAAACTGTCCTTGAACTCACTCTGTAGCCCAGGCTGGCCTCAAACTGGTGGAGACCCTTCTGCCTCAGGCTCCCAAATTCTGGGATTACAGGCCTACATACCACACCTGGCAGTTATCTGACTTTTACACACTACAAAACCAAAGTCAAGGAAATATTCAAACTTTGCTGCCCTAGAGACTCAATTTTTTTCTTTTCTTTTTTTCTTCATATCTTGTTCACTAAATTCCTATCAGGTGCCTCTTCTTAAACATTTTTTTATTAGTACATGTACATGTCTGTAGTATATAATGATTACATGCATCATGGGAGGTTGTTACTTTATCTTAATTCTTTACTTCTCTTGTTCCACCCTTGCCTCCCCTACCCCCTTAAAGTGCCTCTTTTTTTCTTTTTGGTATCTGGGATTGAACTCAGGCCCTTGAACTTGCAAGGCAGGCAGTGGAACCACTGAGTTAAATCTCCGGCCCTTGAAGTGCCTCTTTTTACAGCAAAAGCATGTTTGTAAACTAGTCCAGATATAGCATAGTAGTATATCCTGAGTACGTATTTCATAAATTCTCTGGGTTTTTTTTTTTTTCTATCCTGGATTTGGGTAACTTTAAGTGTAGAGCTTTGATAGGCTAAAAGAATAGTGCCTCCAAAGGTCTTTGAATTAAGAAAAAGAATGACCTGTGTTATTTCTTAGAGATTTGTTTTTGCTTCTGCTGAAAAGGGAGAGCAGTGTTGATTTATTGAGTCGTAGATTAAATTTGGATTAACAAAGAGGCAACTTGCAATTATTTGGTGTTATTTCTTAATACCAGTGAGAACTAACTTGGTTTATTGTTTTTTCCAGATGATGGGCATAAGAAAGCTCGAAATGCTTATCTCAATAATTCCAATTATGAAGAAGGCGATGAATACTTTGATAAAAATTTGGCACTCTTTGAGGTAATATTTGGAAGAAAACTATAGACAGATTGTAGGAACAGAGATTTCAGGACAGCTATTTTCTATTTGATTTTAAAACACTACAAACTGGATAATCACTAATGTTAAAATATACTTATGTTGTAACTTTTCATTGTACTTAATTTTGTCTGTATGGTCTAATTATAGAAAATATCTATTAAATGTTATGAAGTAAGGAAGAAGAGTGCTTATTTACATGGAGAATCTTGCAATCTAATTTAGATATGGAATAATTTGAATAAAAAACAATCCTATGTTTGGGAGGACTATTGTTTAACTTAGAACTATCTAAACAATAACCACTCTAAGAAGCAGGCTACCAGATTAAGATTTATGTAATTTCTTATTGGTCTGTGTTTGCAATACATGAAATTTACATGATTTTGGGGGGAATGGCAAATGTTATATAACATACCTTAATTATTTACTGTCCTGCTTCAGCCCTCCCCTATCCAAAATGTCTTATTTTGTAACAAATTATTGTATTTATAGGTAAAATGTGATATTTTCATTCATGTAGATATTGTGGGATGATTAAATCAAGCCACATAACATATCCATCACCCCTTATAATTTTTAGTGATACAAACATTGGAATTTTAGTTTCTTAGAAGTTTTGAAATACAAAATATATATTTCAGTCCCCTGTACAAAAAAAAAAAAAAAAAGACAGTATATTAAGTGTAGTCACCATATTGGGCAGTAGATCTGAAAATCTTACTCTTCTTGTCTAACTGAAACTTTGTACCCTTTGGCTAACATCTCCCTATTCCTCCTTTCCCCCAGCCTCTGGTAACCACCATTCTACTCACTACTTCTGAGTTAACTTTCTTGTTTTTTGAGACAGGATCTTGCTATGTAGTTCAGCCTGGCCTTGAGCTCACTACATAGCCTGGGCTAGCTGCAAACTCATGGCAATCCCACAGCCTCCTGACAGCTAGGATTACAAGCATGTACCACCACACCCAGCTGAGTTAATGTTTTTTCAGAGTCTGCATATAAGTAAAATTATGTGGTATTTATCTCTCTGTGTTTGTTTAACTTAGCATAATGAAGACGACTTTTACGTGTTATCTGACTGAGACAATGTAGACTGATGGGTCTGCAGCCAGACTGTTGAAAGGAGAGTGGTATATTCCAACACTACCTTTGTCTGGCTTTGCACAATGTCAGTGCCATATCTTGCAGTGTGCTTTGTTAAAAAAAGGAATCTTTTCTCTCAATCTCCTTCAGACTGAGGTCTGAGATAAATATTTATTTCAATCACAAATGTTTCTCCTCTGTCCATGCTTGGTGCTATAATTATTACACAGCTGGGAATGGCGCTCAGTGGTAAAATGCTTGCATAGCATATGTGAGGCCCTACGTTTGATCCCCAGCACCTCTAAATTAATTAATTAAAAACTAATAATTGCCATAAATGTTAGTAGCCAAAAGAGAGGTGTGATATTATAGTGAAGGATCACATTACCAATATGAACTTTAGGTTACTAGAGCTGGTGATTTTGTTTTCTCTGTAGATTAAGTTATATAGCTACTACAAGGAATAATGAAAGTTTTCATTAAGAATATTATAAGCAGGGGCTTGGGGGTATAGCTCAGTGGTAGAAAATTTTCCTAGGAGGTGTGAGGCCTTGGCTTGGATCCCGAGCACAAGAAAGAGAAGAAAGAGAAAGAAGGAAGGATTTATGGCTGGATTAGTATAAGTAGAAAACAGCATGAAGTTTTCTCATAAAAATCAAAATAGAACTACCACATGATCCAGCAATTCCACCACTCAGTATATATCCAAAGAAAATGAAATCACAGTGTCAAAATGATGTCTACATTTCCATGTTCGTTGCAGCATTGTTCACAATAGCCAAGTGTCCCAACCTAAGTGTCCCAACAGTGGATGAAGAGACAAGGAAACAAGGTACATGTACATAGTGGGAGAGCGTTCAGCCTTAAAAAAAAAAGGGTAATCCTGACACTGGTGACAACATGGAGGAATTTGGAGAAATTATGTTAAGTGACATAAGACAAATACCACTGATCTCTTGTGTAGGATCTGAAAGTTGAATTCCTAGAGGCAGAGACAGAATGCTAGCTATGAGGGGGCATAGAGGGGACTGATGGTGTGATGTTGGTCATTGGGCGCAGAATTTCCATTAGAAAGAATAAGTGTGATGGCTTGTGTTTAGTTGTCCTCCAGAAGCTGCATGCCATCATAGGTGGGGCTTTTTCAGAGGTAGTGGGATCTACAGTGTGTTATCAGTTATGGTGTAATGTTAAGATTAAGGATGCTAAGTTTTTTTTTTTTTTTTTTTTTTTTGGTACCGGGGATTGAACTCAGGTCCTTGTGCTTGCAAGGCAGTCCACCAAACCACTGAGCTAAATCCCTGGCCCAAGGGTGCTAAGATTAAGGGCATGTGATTACTAAATTGGTCTATTGATTGGTTTGGCACCTGCCCTAATCCCAGTAGCCTGGATGCAAAATAAGGGATAGGAAGAGGCTCATATTGTACATTGTTGGCTTTGTTACCTTCTGCCCGCCATGAACTATTTCTCCTTTTTGATGCCTGTCTGCCGGGCCACCCTGCCTTGGAGCCAGTGATTATGGACTGAAACTTTTACAAACTGAGCTGAATAAACCTTTACTCCTTTAACTTTAGGTCTCAGCAATGAGAGAAAAGTAACTACGACAGTAAGGTTTTCAGATCTGTTATACATAATGACTGAATTTATACTTGAAAATTGCTAGAACAGCAGATTCTCAATGGTCTCACTACAAAAAAAATAAGTATTTGTGGTGATGGATATATTAACTAGCATGATTTAATCATTACATAACATGTACATCTGTCACATAATGTTGAGCACCATAAATGCATGCAGTTTATTTATTCACTTACTGGGTGTAACTGGTGATTGAACTGAGAGCCTTCACACTGAACTACATTCCCAACCCCTTTTTTAAAATTATTTTTTATTTTGAGACAAAGTCTACCTGAGTCAACAAGTTGTCCAGGCTGCGCTCAAGCTTCTGATTCTCCTGCCTCAGTCTCCCAGAGTGCTGAGATTATAACTGTGTACCACCACACCTGGCTAAAATATGCAAACTTTAATTTGTCAATTAAATTTTTTATAAGGATTCGTGATACCCTGATAAAGTGTGACTTTTTTTTCTTTTTTGAGACAACGTCTTACTATGTAGTTCAGGCTGGTCTTGAATTCACTATGTAATCTAGGCTGGCCTCGAACTTGTTTCAATCCTCCTGCCTCTCAGCTTCCAGAGGGCTGGGATCACAGGTGTGTACCACCATGCCCAGCCTGTATGATCCTTTAAATATGATGGGAAATATGATCCTTTAAGTGTGATGAAGAAATAGTCTTATTGATAAATTAAAAAAAAAACATTTACCTGTGAATTTTTTCTTATGTACTTCACAGCTTTCTTTTCATGCATAGTATTTATTCAGGATAATGGGTTTTATTTTGGCACATTGTACATGCATATAACATACTTTGATCTTTTCTGCTACAGTAACGCTCCTTCCCCTTCTGTCCCCTAGCCCATTCTTTTCCACTTCTCTTAGTAGTCTCCCTTTTCCTTTCAGGTTTAGTAGTCTCCCTTTTCCTTTCATGTCAATAAAGTTTATTTTGAGGTTTATTTTCATTGTGCTTTGTAATTCATTTCTTTCATATTTCTGGCTTTATAGGAAGAAATGGACACCAGACCAAAGGTGTCTTCTCTCCTCAATCGCATGGCCAATTACACTAATCTGACACAAGGAGCAAAGGAACATGAAGAGGCAGAAAATATCACTGAAGGGAAAAAAAAGCCCACCAAGGTGAGGCCTCAGAATAGCAAGGATCATTCAGAGTCTCGTAAGTTTTGAATGTTTGACATATCCAAGGCACTTGTGGCAACTAGTGTCATAGTACAAACAGTATCCTGGCTGTCTTGTAAGGAGACAGTCTTCAGACTGTTTTAACTCTGTAAAAATATACAACAGTAAGTCTCAAGAAATGCTTTAACAAATATTTGAGTGAGATTAAAGAGACTGAGACTGTCAAGGGAGCCAGGTGGACAAAGAAAGCCCTCTTAACAACGTGATTCTTGAGCAGAGACCTAATTGGTGTGAGGAGTAAGCCATGTGGGAGAACAGCATTCCAGTGAGAGGGAATAGGGTCAAGAACATCCCACACCCATCTGCTCATGCCATCTGTCTGTTACAAAGTTGAATTTTTTAAAAGAAGTAAATATTAGCTTTTCTTAGAATGAAAATGAGGCAGCATATATCATTTGTCCTTCTAGTTGTTTAGCTCTTTAAAAAGCTGTGAAAAGGGCTGGGGATTTAGCTCAGTGGTGCTGCTGCCTGCCTCACAAGCGCAAGGTCCAGAGTTTGATCCCTGGTACCAAAAACAAAACAAAACAAAAAAGCTGTCAAATGGCCATTGGGGTTCATTTCACCATCTGTCCCATTTACCAATTAATTCTGAAGGATTTCCATCAAGTCATTCTTTTTTTTTTTTTTTTTTTTTTTTTTTTTTTTTTTTTTTTTTTTTAGAGGTTTATATTTTCAAAGCCTTTCATGTTGCTGTTTAGTGCTTTTTCTTTTTTTTATTTGTTTGCATTTCTGATTTTGTTTTTTGAGATAGGGTCTTGCTATGTATTTCAGGCTGCCCTTGAACTCAATATGTAGCCCAGGCTGAACTCAAACTCATGGTGATCCTCCTGCCGCAGCCTCCCAAGTGCTGGGATTACAGGCGTGTGCCACAATGCCTATGAATAGTCTTTTATGAAATACAGCTTTATATGTGCCTTTTGAGGATATTGCTTAAACTTATCTTTGCTTTGATATTAATATGGTAGGTAGGGAGCAAATTTTTACAGAAAAGATTAAAAATTTTAAAAGTGAAAAAAAAAGTACCTATTGTAGATAACTAACTTTTTTCTTCTGTCTACATCTTCCTTTTTAGACCCCCCAAATGGGTACCTTCATGGGTGTCTACCTACCATGTCTACAGAATATTTTTGGAGTGATCCTCTTTCTACGCCTTACATGGGTAGTGGGCACAGCTGGAGTTCTTCAGGCCTTTGCAATTGTCCTTATCTGCTGCTGCTGTGTAAGTTTTGCATCGGCTCCTGGAGATCATTGGGAACATTTTGTGTTCTCAAGAGTATATGCATTTTGATGTCTTTGGGAATAAAACAAAGACTACTTACAATGTCAACAGGAGAGATTATTCTGTTATAAAAATCTAAAGGATTTTCTTTTACTTAGTGCCTGTCATTTACTGCTTGCTATCTAAGATTATGCAGTGTGCTAGAAATTACAAAGCAAGACTTCAGCTGGAAGTAAGAAGATAAAGAATCTAAATCCTTGGAGTTTGAGACCACCAATATAGTTATGGAAAATGTATAGAAAATGCCATATGTTATTCCATTGTGTATTGAGAAATAGAAACTGATATTAAATATTTGAGGGATAAGACATATTTGAGTTTGGTCAGGTTTGGCTTTGAAGTCTTTCTCTTAGAAATTCAATTTTTCTTTCTAGGTCTTGTCTTCCCTATATTAGGAGCATTCTTAATCTTCCTTTAGTTTAAACTCATTTTTCATCTATCCCAGACACATCTATCATTCTTACTATGTTTTTATTCCTGTCACCATTTTCCTGTGTGTTAGGCTTAGCTGAATATTACACAAAGTGGGTTAAGTAGGTATAGTCCATATTGTAAGTTAGTAGTACCCCTGTTTTGTTTTGTTTCTGGTTTTTCAGTCTTGAAATTTCAAGGCCATATTTCTCTCTGGTCACAACTTACATCTAATCAGTTAGCAAGACCTTTAGGGAGCAGGGAAAGGGATGTTATCAGGATCTCTGCCTTGGGTCCTGTCCTGTGAGCCACCATAGCATAAGGCAAATTTAAGGACAGAGAGAAACAAGACTTAGAGTAGAGAAGCTGAGTCTTAGGTGCTGGTCAGTGCTGCTGATGGCAGCAAAGACAAAGCTCCCAAGCATATCCAGTATTTATTGAATGCAATTGTGGGAAGGAGTAGGGAGTAGGCTATGTATTGAAGGCATCTATGAAATACTACCAAACACCTGGCATGATGGTGCCAGGCAGGGTTGGAGGGAGTCGGCACTGCTTATCTTGGTAGGATAGAAGAAACCAGTACAGAGACCAGGCACAATTAGCAAGCAACCCACAGGGTCGGTGAGAAGCAATAGTTCAGAGGAAATGATTTTAATTGGGATCATGCTGACCTCAGCTGTACATAACTTAGCAGAGTCCTGCCACTTCACAGATCACGATTTAGGCCTTGGTGACAGCGATTAGCAAAGGAGCAATACTAGCCGAACTCTGCTAGCTGATATGCCTGTTTGAGTCACATAGGGCTTTGGTCTGACTCCTGATATAAAACAATGTAGCCGAATTATGGAAGCCAAGAAGCATGTGCCACTCATAGCCCGCTCGTGCTGGGCAGAGATGTCTCTTACAAAGACCAATCCATTCTCTGTCAAATCTCACATTCAACCCTTCCTTTTTAGTCTCATTACCACCACTGTAGTTCTTACCTCCCATTAGACTCCTGTAGACAGAAGCCTAGTAACCAGTCCCCCTGCATCCAACTATTCCCTATTTGTAGTCTATTCTGTATTGCGCTACTTGGTAAATTACAGTTCTTCTGTACTGAAGTTCTCAGTGCTTCACTTTCTTGTTGCGTGTTGTTCTTGATAACTTAGCTAGTCTTTAGTTAGGTTCTAATCTATTTTCCAAGTTCTCTCCTTAGTTACTCCTTTTGAGTGTGTCAGGCTTTCTTTCCTGCTTAGGACATTCAGGATGAAATCAGATGTTCTTGGGTGAGATTAGGCTCTTAGGAGTTAATCTACTGGTTATGATATCAAGGCCATTTTCACAGTATGGACACTCCTCATGTAATGACCTACCTGTTTAACACCTGTTTGCTTTTACAACCAAGGTGCGCTGTTCAGATTTAACCTGCTGCTCAGACTTATGACCTGTCTTTTTTTTTTTTTCCAGTTCTGTTCATCTTGTTTATAGAGCTTCATTGTCTTTTTTATATAGTACTGTAATTTTTTGCTCATTGTACTGTATAGTACTATAGTTTAATGTTGTTATACATTACAGTACTGCATGTAAGTTAGGCAAATAAAAGCAAAGTCATCAAGTTGGAGTGTCCTTTGACCATTTCATTGTTCTGAATATTGTAATATACATACTATATATAATTCATCATTTAGCAATCAGTTCATTTAACAACCTGTTTGGTGGAGTGGAATTTGGTCAGTAAAGAAGGAATGTCTGTATGCCACAGATAGTAGTATAGTATGACTAATGCAGAGGACACATTGTCTTATTTCCATATGACAGCAACTCCCTCCATAAAAATAGGTAGAGTTAAATGCTTCAAAAGTGCTTTGAGGTCTACAGTTGGGAAAGTAGTACAGAAGTATCAACTTTACCTGGTAACAATAGTGTCCTTTGTCTTTTTTCACAGACAATGTTGACTGCTATCTCCATGAGTGCCATTGCCACTAATGGAGTTGTGCCAGGTGAGCAGTCCAAACTTGAATTTCAGGGATTGTTAGCGATTACTGTAGGTTTATAAGGCCAGAGGTACAGGCTTCCAAAGAACAGATTAGTACTTGCTCTGCGGCGTTGGTTTGTTTTGTTTTGCTTTATTTCATTTTGTTTTGTTTCAAGACAAAGTCTCCCTCAGGCTGGCCTCAACTAGCAATGATCCTCCCCACTAAACTTCCCAAGTCCAGGGATTATAGGTGTGCATCACCACACCTGGTTTACTGTGTTGTTTTGTACTACAACAGAGTAATAGTCTATAGAATTTTACTCTTTTTTTGTTTTGTTGCTGGGGATCAAACTTGGGCCCTTTGCAAGGCAGGCTGTGAAACCACTGAGCTAAATGCCTGGCCCAACAATCTATAGACATTTAGAATATTATTTGCCTTTAGAATACCTTCTTTAAAATCTATTATTTCCTAGACTACAGAGCTTTATTTTCAGTACATTTTAGCTTCTTTTAGTTGGGATACATTTATTAGGTTATCTCATGCCCATATTTAAAATTCCTGTTTTTGGTAAAATGTACTGCTTATTGTAAAGCTTTGAATATCCTACAGTAAAAGTTTCATCTTTTACTTCCCACTAATAATTACTTATTAACACACTCAGAATTTTTTAAAGACTGAAACTTTTAGCCTTTATGCATATGTTTATTACTCTTATTTATGACTTGCTTACATTCCTGTTACTAGTACTCTCTCTATGCTGCTCACCTTCTATTTTGTCTTATAGCTGGAGGCTCATACTTTATGATTTCCCGGGCACTTGGTCCAGAGTTTGGTGGGGCTGTTGGCCTCTGCTTTTACCTTGGTACCACATTTGCAGCAGCTATGTATATCCTTGGTGCCATTGAAATTTTCCTGGTGAGTAATGATTTGATTTTAGTCTACAGTGTAGAAGAGACTTGGATTTAAGTTTATTCTTTGATATCAATGCTTCTGAGAGGTCAGCTGTAGGAATCAATGTGGTGATTGCTAATCTGTTACTGGGCTGTTGATTTAAGTATGAAACAGAAAGGTTGAGGTACCTTTTGCCTGTCCCTTCCCCTTCACCTGATTGCTACCACTTCACCGCTTCAACTAAATTATAGTCTTGGGAGGCAAGACTTGAGCCTGGGGTGTGTGTGTGATAAACCTTACTTTTTTTTTGATGTCTTTATCACAATGAAATAAAATGTATTTTCATTTCTCTATTCAGTGGGATATATTCCTTACTATTAAAAGTGATGACAGGAGAAGGGACAAGCTAATCATTATTATCTTGTATATCCCTTTGAGTAAAATATTACTTTATTCATTTTTTTCTCATTTGGAAATATAGTTATTCAGGATAGCAAATAGGAAAAAAAAAATCCATGGTATCCCATTTCTATAGATATTCCAGATCCAATTAGGAATTGGGCTAATTCTTGGGTCATTTTCTGTTTCAGCTTTGCTTTCCTTCATGAAAGCACATGCAGATTATTACAGCCCTTACTTGATTTTTTTGAAATAATCTCATTTTCTTTCCTTCTTTTTTTTTTACCTAACAGGTATACATTGTTCCCCGGGCTGCCATCTTTCGCAGCGATGATGCCCTCAAGGAATCTGCAGCCATGCTTAATAACATGCGTGTCTATGGCACAGCCTTCTTGGTCCTCATGGTATTGGTGGTATTCATCGGTGTGCGCTATGTGAACAAATTTGCCTCGCTTTTCCTGGCCTGTGTCATTGTATCCATCTTGGCAATCTATGCTGGAGCTATCAAGTCTTCTTTTGCACCCCCACACTTCCCGTACGTGAATGTCTCTTGGCCTAGTTATTAGTCAGTGACACTATCTTAGTACTATGATAATTTCATTCAGAATTTGACAAGTCTGAGATTTCCAATGGCCCGGTCAGCTGGTAGGAAGTCTCCTAGAAAACTGTCCTGTTGACCCTCTCCATGTCCCAGGCATAGAACTAGCAGATATAACCATCATTCAGATAGTTAATAGTTTTTCCCCTCCAATAATGATTGTACCTATTTGAGCTCTTAGTGAAATACTTTGCAAAAGATGTCATCATTATTAGAAAGCTTTATAAGGTATTTAAATGTAGAATTCATTTTATTAATGAAAAATTTACAGTCAAGTGAACCCTAAAGTCTTAAACTTTTTATTCTGTTTAAAACCTTTTAAGTGCTTAGAATTTCTAGTTATAAAATAAAGGGAAATTAATGTCATATTATTGGTATCTACTAATGCAGAGTAAGACCATGAACTCCAGTTTTCCTTCTCCTGTTCAGTATTTTTTCTTTCTTTTTGGTTACCTGGGTATCAAACTCAGGACCTCACACTTGGGAGGCAGGTGCAGTGTCACTGAGCTAAATTCTTGGCCCTATCCAGTATTTTTAATGTTATGCTACATGGTATCAGTAACAGATCTATCATAAATATTTAATTTGCTTATCTGTAAAATAGCTGAAGATTCTTTTCAGAATCATGAAAGATCTAAAGGCAACACTTTGGCTGTATTTCAGTTTGGAAAATTCCATGCCTTGGGTTCTACTTTGGGGCTTCACCTCTGCTTTTTTGATTGGGAAAAAAGCCATAATGAATTGTATTTTCTTTCAAGTATTCCAGCAAAACAAGACAAAAGCTTAGAAAAATACATGAAACAAAACTGGGAACTGTTGAAAGTCACTGAGGCTGAGTAATAGATACATGATTCATTTTGCATGTGTGTAATCATTCTGAAGATTTAAAAAGTTGCTTTGTTCTACCTACGAAGTGTTTTAGCTATGGGTGTATTATTCTTTTGTTGGTATTTAGGTCTATGGGGAGAACAAAAATGAAATCAGAAAAAAATAATAAAATAAAAGAATAATTATGTCGCCCTTTAGTACCTTCATACCCACTAGTTCTAGGCATAAATTCAAAAACACTTTTGTCTTAATGGGATGGTTTTCATAAAAATTCTAGCCAAGCTGTCTTCCTCACCACTCCAAGGCTTAGCATAATTTTTCCAAAGAGGGTGTTATGAATGTAAGGCTTTTCTAGGCCAAAAATTAGTAACTTAAAAAAAAAAAAGAATGAAAAGACTCCAGGATTATTTTGATTTAACAGTTGATCAGTAGCCTAAAATTGTTTGGAAGATGAGTCAGCATAGTGTCTTCTTACAGTTCCTGTATTTGATTTGTATCACTGCCATGTACCACCAGGATGATCTTGGGCAGTATATTATATTTCCCTAAAGTTTAGTTCCTCCATCCATAAAATAAGAAATACTAATTAATTGGGCAATTGCTGCAAGGATAAATTGGCAGAATATGTAAGTCACCATTCACAGTGCTAGTCAGTAAATATTAATTCCTTACCTACCTGTGACAGTACAGGCTCTTAGAGATGAGACTGTTTTGCTCCTTTACTAACCTGTTTCCTTTTTTTAAAATGTATTTTTTTTTCCTTGCTTGATCTTTCTCCCTACTTGTTTTCAATTAGGGTCTGCATGCTGGGTAACCGCACTCTCTCATCAAGACACATTGATGTTTGCTCTAAGACCAAGGAAGTTAACAACGTGACAGTACCATCAAAGTTATGGGGCTTCTTCTGTAATTCCAGTCAGTTTTTCAATGCCACCTGCGATGAGTACTTTGTTCACAATAACGTCACTTCGGTCCAGGGCATTCCTGGCTTGGTTAGTGGTATCATTACAGGTAAGCTAAGGAGTTGATAGACATGTTTTTTATTCCTCTATAAGGAAATAGGATTTGCCATTAGAGTCTTTGTCTGCACTGCCTTCCTTAAGCTTAGTACACAGCAGAATTATCCAGGATGCCTTGTAGAGTGTCATCTGTTAAAATTTACGGAGAATAGAGTAGAGCTACCCAGGCACGGTGGCACACAGCTGTAATCCCAGCACTTTCAAGGCTGAGGCAGGAGGATCACTGTGAGTTCAAGGCCAGCCAGCCTGAACTACACAGTGAGACTCTATCTCAACAACAAAAACAGGAGAATAGAGCAGGACTAGAATAAGATAAAATAGTTTCTGCAGTCGGTTCCTCTTCCCTCTCTCCACCTTTCTATTTTGACATAGGGTCTGTCTTTGTTGCTTAGGCTGGCCTCTAATTCTTGGGCTCAAATGATCTTCCTGCCTCATCCTTCTGAGAAGCTGGGACCACAGGCATATACCACCATATCCAAATTTGTGTATTCCTGAAAAATAGCCACTGTTAATACAGAAATGACAACTAAAATAGAACTATTTTAGTGTTATCACATTTGCACGTTTTTCTAATTCAGCTAAATTTCTGAAATTCTTTCCTTAAATGACATCTATTTTAAACGATTGGTCCACAGATTTCCTTGCACATTAAGCGAGTTCTCTAAGGTGTTAAAAATAGTATAGATCACTAGTAAAAAATAATAGGCTTTGAGAGACATTCTGCCTTTTACTAATTTGTATTAGAAAACTTAACTGTGTTTGTTGTACCAAAACACCTTGTCAAATTTTCTTTGAAATGAAGAAAGACATTTTTATTTATGTGTGTTTTATTGCACTATACATATGTGTTTGTATGTGGTGCTGTTGAAGCAAACAACCCTTTAAAAACTGTTACAGGAGTCTAGGATTGTGGCAAGCTTGCCCAGCATATGCAAGGCTCTGGGTATGATCCCAATCACCCCCCAAATAAATAAACAGACAAAGAAAAAGAAAAACTATGTAAAAAGGAGTCTGATTTTAAATTATTTTGAGGTGTGAAATCAGTTTATTAGTATATTTTTTTGAGACAGGGTGATGCTGTGTGGTTCAGGCTGCCTTGAACTCGCTATACAGCCCAGCCTGGCCTCAAACTCATAGCAGTTCTCCTGCCTCAGCCTCCCCAGTGCTGGAATTATAGGTGTACACCACTACACTTGGCCAGCTAGTTATATTTTTACTATACTTATTTTGATTATATTCTCTATCCCTCTGTAGAGAACCTTTGGAGTAATTATCTACCTAAGGGAGAGATCATTGAAAAGCCCTCAGCCAAATCATCTGATGTCTTGGGAAATTTAAATCATGAATATGTTCTTGTTGACATTACCACCTCCTTCACTCTTCTGGTGGGGATATTCTTTCCCTCTGTCACAGGTAAGTGTCAGTGCTAATGTCTATTTAAGAGGATTCCACATCCAGGGATTTATTTTTTTCAGGAGGCAGAATTATACTCTCTGTTTTCCTAGATTTGCCTTTTCAGTATCAGTATGAACATCAGAGTGACCAGGAACTCAAGAAGTTAACTTTGTTTTTTCCCCTCTCTGAAGGTATCATGGCTGGATCAAATAGATCTGGAGATCTGAAAGATGCTCAGAAGTCTATTCCCATTGGAACGATCCTTGCCATCCTGACCACATCCTTTGTCTGTATCCTTTTCAGAGATCCAGTCTGAGTGATAGTTTTAGGGACATCCAGTAAAACTAGGGTGACCAGTGTTTTAGTGTGGCTTTTCTCTCTGACATCTTCTTGCCAGATACTTTGCCCATTTCATGTACAAAATTCAAGCAAAATTTTTATAGGATTAGTGAATTTAGCAGCTTACTTTAGTGATAGGAGAATTACCCTGATTCTCTTTCTGTCTGATGCTAGAGGGTAAACAGCAGTTTCCTTGACCTCAGTATGGTAGATTTAAGCAATGTTGTCCTTTTTGGTGCATGTATTGAAGGGGTTGTTCTCAGAGACAAGTGAGTAGTTAAATTCAAATTCTTTGTGTCATTTTCATGACATATGACCAATCCAGCATAGCTCCAAGACAGTTATCTCAAAAACCCAGTCTAAGGTATCAATGATTGACTACCGATTAGAAAAACACATGTGCTGGGATAGGGGTATGGCTCAGTGACAGGGTAGTTGCCTAGCATGTGCAAGGCCCTACATTTCATACCCAGCATGAAAAAAAGAAAAGAGTGGAAAGAGAAAAGTAAAAGAAAGAAAGGATAAATGTATATGTATATCCTTGAGGATAGTGAATAATAAGGACCAGTATGTTGCTATAAACATGTAAGCCATAATGAATGTAGCTCTTTTAAAATACAGTAAATTTGAATTAAGTACTTTTGTGTACACCAGAAGTTGGAGAGCTAGACCAAAAGTGAAGAAAGGCAAATAAAAACACCAAAAGAAGACTTTCAAATTTTTCTTCTATCGCCTTTATGAGAGATAAATAACTGTCTAATTCTCTTTGGAATTTCAAATCAAAGCCTGGAACATTTTGTATTTCCTTCATGAAGGCTGCTAAGTGTACATTTTTCTTTTTTCCTATATATTTTTCAAAGATATTTCTAGAAAAATCTTTCCTTCAAACCTGTTACTTCCCACATTTTACCAATCTTGATTAATAGTGTCACCATTCACCCCTCTTTCTAAAAGGTGGCATCATGGACTTCTTCCATTAATTCTAATAGTTTCTAGGCCTTGTAAATACTACCTTTCAACCTTAATACATTTCATTATTTTCCCTGACCTGCATCCCCATGACTTTGTCCTTGCCCTCAAGATTTGTTGCACACATTATCTCAGTAATGTTCCTTTCAGTTCTGCTGCCTTTTAATCCTTCCACACTGCTACCAGAATGAGACCCCCGCCCCCAGTACTGGAAATTGAACTCAGTACCTTGCGCTTGCCACGCAGGCACAGCACCACTGAGCTACATCCCTGGCCCCAGAATGACTTCTAAAACACAAAATTTGTTTACACAAACTTTTCTGCTTCAGAGCCTGCCACATTACCCTTAAAACTCATCACTTTGATCTGTCCCCCTCTTATCTCATTCTACTCTTACCTCCTGCCATTCCCTCATAAACTCCCTATGCTACAGCCATGACTTAGAGTTAAATGTGCCTTGTTTCAGATTACTGTTCATCTGCACATTTGTCTGTGATGTTTCCTTGGCTTAGAATGGGTTACTTCCACCTGGCCAGCTCATATTCATCCTCTAAGACTAGGCTAAGTGGCTTCTCCTCTATAAGTTTTCTTCTCCCTTGTACACCCACTGTAAAGGATTGGACTGTGTGCTCTCTGACCATGCTGTATTGCAGTTGTTCCTTTTCATATCATTTTCCCCTACTAGATTGAGCTGTTTGAGGACAGGCAAAGCTAATAGATGCTATATAGAGACTGTTAAGAAAAAATAAAGTAGCATAGTGTGTGTGTATATGTATATATGTGTGTGTGTGTGTGTATAAGTAGCACTATATATATGGTATATTACTATACTATTGTAATAGAAGATGTATGGAGATTTGATAAATTTTATCTTAATATAAAAATTACTGAGTAAATTTGAATGCCACTTTGGAACACTATTGGTCATTATCTCTTAAGGTTGAATATGCACATACCTCTAACCCAGCAATTCTTTTTCCAGGTATATCCAACAGAAATATTTGTACGTATGTATTAGGATCATTATTATCATGTACTCGTAGTAGTACTTCTAAATAACCAAGATCTGGAAGTAATCTAAATACCCTTTAATAGTAGAATGAGTAAATTATGTATTCATGCAATGAAAAACTACACAGCAATAAAAGTAAATAAACCATAGTGATAAAAAAATTTTATAATGCTAAGAATATATTGTTTCATTTATATAAAGTTTTAAAACAGGCAAAACAACATAGCATTAAAAAGCAATATAATGGAAAGTGGAGCAGAAGAAAGGGCTAGGTAGTAGGAATAGATATAAGAGAATTTTGGATGATGGTGTTTTGCTAGTTGATCTGCATGGTAGTTACATGGGTATTTGCTTTGTGGAAATTTATTGATATGTATATTTGTTTTTTGCACATTACTTTTTGCATACTTTAAAAATTATTTAAATAATTAAACTATTCACAGAGCTAATTTCACCCTTTAGATTAATATTTAATATCACGATTTATGTGGAGTATACGGCATAACACTTGAATCTTTGCATACTTCCAATGAGAGCAGAATTTAGTATAAGCCTTTGTTTGGTAGTGATTCGAAAATGTTTTACTATATTGATCCTTTTTTTAAATGGTTATTCCCTATTGGGAATCTGCAGTAAGGGAAAAAAATCTGGTGTGTCAGTATACAGAAAGATGTTAATTACAGGTCAGGCATTATGGCACACACCTATAATCCCAGCTCCTGAGAGGCCTAGGCAGGAAGATAGAAAGTTCAAGCCCAGCCTTAGCACCTTTGTAATTTAGCAAGACACTATCTCAAAATTTTAAACAGGGCTGGCTGGGAATGCAACTCATTTCAGAGGCCCTCAGTTCAATCCCTAGTAACACACATACACACACACACACACACACACACACACACACACACACATTAATTATAGTGGAGGACAAGTAATATAAATTATGATGCAGTATTATTCAAAGCACTAAATTTTTACGCATGGTTTTTCATAACAGAAAATGCATGTGCTTAAAAAGTATACAGAATTATAAATGCAGTCAACTCCTCCATGTTTTTAAAAAATGTAGTATATAGATTAACATGTAAAGTATGCACAATGTTAAGATTAGTGGTTTCTCTTTTTCTTTTTTTTTTCTGTGCTTTTCCAATTTTTCCCTAAAAGTAGATTATTTTAATAATCTGAAGGGGCGAGCGTGTAACTAAAGCTTAGCTTTTTTTTCTGGTTATAGGGTTGCTCTGTTTTTTTCTTAATAGAGGTTATCAGTGCTTTGTTTTTGTGTTTTGGTGGTGCCCATGGCCTTTGCACTGATCTAACCCTTCTTTATTTTGTTTTTTTGTTTGTTTGTTTTTTGAGGTGGGTCTCACTAAGTCATAAAGTTACCCAGGCTGGGCTTAAACTTGTGATCTTAGTGCTTCAACCTCCCACAGTGCTAGGCAAGTGCTCTACCACTGAGCTACATGCCCAGACTACCATTGTTGTGTTTTAATCAGAGCTATATACCTTTACCTGTCTTAGTATTCATGTGTACCTCAACTTTAATTCTCTAAAAATTATAAATAGACAAGTGGGTGAAATGTCTTTCTGGTATTTCAATGTAAATGTATTTACAGATTACATTTCCATGCTGCTTATTTCTTTCCTAGGTTTGGGGATGCTGTGAAAGGTAACTTGGTGGTGGGCACCTTATCTTGGCCATCCCCATGGGTGATTGTCATTGGCTCCTTCTTTTCAACATGTGGGGCTGGACTTCAGAGCCTCACAGGTGCACCGAGACTTCTACAGGCTATAGCCAAGGATAACATCATACCATTCCTGAGGGTGAGTGACCCTTTCTATGATCTCCTCTAATTTTGCAGGTTTTAGGAGAAACAGTGTGGTCATAGATAGGTTTTTTGTTTTGGGGGGGGGTACGGTGTCGGCGGGGATCGAACTTGGGTCCTTGCACTTGCGAGGCAGGCGGTGGAAGAACTGAGCCAAATCCCTGGCCCAGTAGGTAGGTTTTTAATAGAGAACTTTCTAATTCTCTGATATGAGTTTATATATAATTGTGGTAAAGGTGTTTAAAGGATAACACTCTTGTAGCGTTATTATTTTTCAGATGTGTGAAACTTCAGCTTAAAAGAATCAAGAGCACATTCACTCAGTCTGTGCCTGGTATCTTCCCTCCTATGTACAGGTTTTCGGTCACAGCAAAGCTAACGGGGAACCTACCTGGGCTTTACTTCTGACTGCTGCCATTGCAGAGCTGGGAATACTTATTGCCTCCCTGGATCTTGTGGCCCCAATTCTATCCATGTAAGAGCCAGTTATTATCTTCAATTATTCTTACTTAAATGATACATAGCACATGATTTCCATCAGTCATATAACAGTAGTAATAATGACAGAGTGAGTCAAATGCAGGTTTAACTTCACTTAAATGATACTGAACATTCCAGAGAACTTTCATTTAGGGCTGACTTGCCCATGCGCCTTGCATATGCCAGACAAGTGCTTTACTGCTGAGCTGCACCTCAGTCTCGCCTTCTTTTCTGACTCATTATCAATTGGATGTTAGATTGTATTCATTCACCTGTGACTTATTGATGACTTATTGTATACCTGACACTATGTAATATACTAGGAATGCAAAGATGGATAAGGCATACCCTTAAAAAAACTGATGATATAGATGAAATCTAGGTGCCATAGGAGAACTTAAAGTGAGCATCTAAGTAGCCTGGGACTCTAGAAATGTTTAGTGTAGGAGGTGGCACTTGTGTCTTGAAGAATGACTAGTTGTTTGCTAAGTAAATAAAGGGTGAAGCATATTCTGGGCAGGGGGTGTGTGCAAAGGAGTTGAAAAATAAAACTGCAGCACATCCAGAGAATGGAAGGTAGTTTGGCTTGGCTGTGGAACAGCCAGTTGCATGCTTGGTGAGTTAGTAGACCAGAGAAATAGAGCCAGATCACAAAGGACCTGGTCTTGGAAACAGTAATAATCCTTTGAATACAAAATTATCATGTTTATGTTTTAGAATGATCAAGTTGGTATCAAAGATGGATTAGAAGGATAAAATTGATCTGGGAATGCTAATTGGAAAGAAACAAATGAGAGCACAAATGAAGAAGACAGTATTAGAGATGAAAAGGGAAAAAAGAAGTTTAGAGATTCCACCCCCTCCCCCAGTATTGGGGTTTGAACCCAGGACCTTTATTCTAAACTATATACTCAACCCCTTCCCCTTTTTATTTTTGTTTTTTATTTGTTTTTGTTGTTGTTGTTGTTTTTGCTTTCTTTTTTCTTTTTTTTATCTCATTGAGTTTATTGGTACATTTTAGGTATGCTGACCTTGTACTCACTAGATAGCCAGGCTGGCCTCAAACTCATGGCCATCCTCCTGTCTCAGTCTCCTCAGTCCTGAGATTACAAGTGTGCAACACCACTCTGGAGCTTGTTTTTCTGAGACAAAGTCTCACTAAATTGTATAGGCTGGGTTTGAACTCACAGTCCTCCTTTCAAGAATGCTGGGATTACAGGCATGTGCCACCTACTTGGGTTTTTTTGGTGATGATGGTGCTGGGGATTAAATCCAGGAGTCACACGTGCTATGTAAGTGCTCTTGCTGCACTCCCAACTCAGATTTTTTAAATAGGTAAAATCTCATAGGACTTGATAAGTGAATTTAGAACAAAGATGAGTAAGGAAGAAGAAAGCTCGGTTATCCCATAAACAACTGGGTAGAGTAATAGTGTCATCAACTGAGAGAACACAGGATGAGCAGGTTGTGGAAAGAGGTTTACATTTCTCTGCTTATTTAATCAAGGGCTAGTGGTGTAGAAATGGACTTCATTACAGCAGATGTCTCCAGTGATTTAAAATAACCCTCAAGGAATCATTTTTATTATAATCACTGTTCTTAAGGGTGTTTGTTTTGTTTTTTTATGGTGCTGAGGATGCAACCCAGGGCTTCACACATGTTAGACAAGCACCGTACCAGTGAACTACATCCCCAGCTCCTACTCATTTTCTCTTTTTGTTCCTCAGGTTTTTTCTCATGTGTTACCTCTTTGTGAACTTGGCGTGTGCCTTGCAGACATTACTTCGAACACCCAACTGGAGACCCCGATTCCGCTACTACCACTGGTGAGTCTTTTCCTCTCTTCTCTCTCCTCTCCTCTCACCTCCTTCTTCCCCCTCCCCCATCCTCTTCCCTTCTTCCTCCATTTTCCTACCCTCCCTCCTTTCCTACCCCCCATTCAGGGTTTTTCATACAATTATTTTTCTAGGCCAGCCATTCCATACTATTTCAACATTGAGTTTTCACCTGAATCTTCGCCCTCTTATTCCACTTTTCTGTATCACCGATAATAACCTTTAGTAACCACTAAGAATAAAGATGAAAACTCTGAAATATTTCCAGCCTCCTTCATTTTTCTTTTTTGTTAGTTGTGGGGATTGAAACCAGAGATGATTCCCTGTACTACATCTCCCGCTCTTTTTAAAATTTTTTATTCTGAGACAAGATCACACTGAATTGTCTTGTAGTCCTCCTGCCTCAGCCTCTCTCATTCCCAGCTTAGCCTCCTTCATTCTTGAGGTTAAAACAGTGATCCATTTGCATGTCTATTTTCCTCTTCTCCCCTTAGCTAAGCAGTAGACTTCATTCCCTTTTATTTTTACTCTGATAATTCTCCTCATTTTTCATTCTCACACTCATCCTTAAGAGAATTTCATTTACTAGTTAAAAATGTGGGCTGTAGCAGCAGACTGCCCAAATTAATATCTCAGCTAAATATGTAGTCTTATAACCTACAGCAAAGCACATAGCCATGTAAAGTTTCATTTTACTCATTTGTAAAAGAGGACTTATAAATCTGAAATGCTTAAGAAAGTGCCTAGTATGTAGTAAAGCTCTCAGTGGAATATTACTGTTACTGCTGCTGCTGTTGCTATTGTACTTGAGCCTCCCTGATGGAGTCATCCAGGATTTTGGCCACTATCCCATCTTTTTCCCATGTCTTTTCTCCCATAAGTGTAGAGTTCTTTAATTGGGTTCTGTATGCACATACCAGTTGATCTCTTCCTCTTTGCTAACTTCCCTTGATCCTTTACTGCCTTCACTTAACCAATGGTGGGGCAGTGATATGACCTTTACCTGGCAAAAATTTAGACCCTCAACTGATTTTTTTTTTTTGGATTTTGAGGCAGGGTCTCACTATGTAGTTGAGACTGACCTGGAACTCACTGTGTAGCCCAGGCTGGTCTCGAACTCACAGCGATCCTCCCGCCTCAGCCTCCCAAGTGCTGGGATTACAGGCATGAGCCACCACACCCAGCCTAGACCCTCAACTGATTTTAACACAATCTTCTATCTTTAATTTTACTTAAAAATTGACTAGAAAGCTTGGCTTGGTGGCAGGAGGATTGCATCGAGTTTGAGGCCAGCCTGAACTACACAGTGAGACCCTGCCTCAAAAAAGTAAGAAAAGAAAAAGGGGAGCAGGGGGATTTAGCTCCATGGCACCTCACCTGCCTCATGAGCACAAGGTCCTGAGTTTGATCTCCAGTACAAAAAAAAGAAAGAGAAAACTAGTATACTAATGGCAGAATTTTCTCAGTTCTCTGGTTATGCTAATCAAATATTCATAAAATTTTGGGGAATATTTATATAAAAAAAGATTATAGAGTTATTAACATTTCCAACTGTACATTCAGTCCCTGCTTTTCCAGATGATTATTAATTAGTCATCCTCATAACTGCAGATGATGTTTGTGCAGAATCCTTGTTCATTGACACTGATGGAAAGCATATTCTGTTACAAAGGGACTTGGTACGTATCTACTGACTGTTGCCAGTTTGTGACAAGACAACTAAGAAATTGAGAACAGGCATTTAGAAACTTCTGTAGATACTCAGCACTGCCACATAGGCTGAGGACATAGCTCAGTGGTTGGGCACTTGCCTAGCATGTGCAAGGCCATGGGTTCTTTCCTCAGCACTGCTAAAAACAAATACAGAGCTGGGCCTGGTGGCTCATGATATAATCCTGGAACCTTTGACACATGGTTTGTTGGTTTTGTTTTTTGGGAATTTTTTTGCCACTTAGATACTTTTTAAAATATTTTTGTTTTTAATTTTCCAGGGCCCTGTCTTTCATGGGGATGAGTATCTGTCTGGCTCTGATGTTCATTTCTTCCTGGTATTATGCCATTGTAGCGATGGTAATAGCTGGTATGATCTACAAGTACATTGAGTACCAGGGGTGAGTGTGGATTTCACCTTGATCACTGCTAAAATTCTCGACTAGCTATTTTTTTTTGTATTTAGTTTAATGAAAATTATATTAAGGACCCAAATGATTTCATTTATCCATAACTACATTCTGCATCCCTGATTCTCTTAACTATCTTAAAAGGTTTCATCACAAGGGGAACCTGTTGAGTAGGTATGCATGGATCATGAAAGTAACTAAAAGGACATAGCTAAAGAATACTAATGATCAGTACTAAACAAAGAATAATACAATACAAATATTTCTGCTAATCCATTCAGTCAAGGTATTGTCCCTGACATAAAAATGAAATTAGTCCTGAGTAATTTTGTAACAACTACAACCTCATAACTTCCAGAAATGTGGAATAAATAGCATTCCCATTCAGAAGATTTAATTGAATTTTATTTAAGTTTTTTTTAACTTTTAAATTAATTTTAAAATAACTTAAACCAGGGCCAGGGATTTAGCTCAGCGGCACAATACTTGCCTTGCAAGCACAAGGTCCTGAGTTTGATCTCTGGTATCCGCCAAAATAAAAAATCAGGGTCTTTAATAATTTCCCAGTACATATTTCTATTTTACATTGTTGCTTTTGCATAGATGTACAAGACTGAGAGACCCTTTCACATTTTATTCTGAAGTGTTTGTGTAGTCTGTTGGTACATGGTGGTGTTCACCTGGCTCACAGTGTTAGTAACATATACATCATTAACATGAGTTGACTTTAAATGTCTGCCTTGTGTACATGTTATTTTTGCTTTTTAAAGTGAACTTTAAAAAAAATCATGCTTCCTGTATTTTAAATCTTTCTCTGCTGTTTTCTCCTTTTTCTCCCAGAGCTGAGAAAGAATGGGGTGATGGTATCCGTGGGCTGTCGCTCAGTGCAGCCAGGTTTGCTTTGCTTCGTCTGGAGGAAGGACCTCCACACACTAAGAACTGGAGGTAAAGAAGTCACTCAGTAGGGGCCGGGGATGTAGTTCAGTGGTGCAACACCTGCCTGTCAACTGTAGGGTCCTGAGTTTAGTTCCCTGTGCTGGGGGAAAATAAAAAAAGAAGAAGAGGAAGAAATCACTCAATAGAGCTTAGTAGTGTTTAGCACATAGGTAATACATAGAAACCTGTGCTTTGTTGATTACCAGATGAGGAAATGAGTGGATGTAAAGGGCCTATTTTGAATTATCCCAGATCTTTACTGCCTTTTCTTCATGAGATTTGTGATTTAGATTTCTATCATTTGTTATTTTTCCTTGACGACTCATCAATTTGATCATTGAAATTGTGGTCATTCCTTTGATCTCTTTCTTCTGTCAAATTATATGTTTTACACAGTTCTCCTGAATTGTCATTCTGTTTCTGCAACCCAAAGTGTTTTCTCCCCTTTTCCTAGGCCTCAGCTGCTTGTTTTGCTAAAACTAGATGAGGATTTACATGTCAAGCATCCTCGCCTCCTTACATTTGCCTCACAGCTGAAAGCAGGAAAGGGTCTCACTATTGTGGGGTCTGTCATTGTGGGGAACTTCCTGGAGAACTATGGTGAAGCTTTAGCTGCTGAGCAGGTAAGAGTCAAGATTGAGTTGACTTAATGGAACAGCTTACAACTTTGTGACATTAAGTAGTAAGACTTCAGACTTCTAGGTTAATCCCCTTCCTGTGTGAGGTAGGTGTTTTCCCACTTACTGCTGACTTCTGAATACTTATGTTCTCCCAAATAATAAGATGAGCCAGAAGATATTTATTTATTCTTTCTTCCCATTTAAAACATTACTAACTGTAAGATTATCATGGTTAAACATTATTTCCAAATGGATTCTAAACAATTATCTGAGCACTGACAGAAGTCATGTAAGTTAATCTATCCATTGAACTCTAAGGAGGATGCCAAGGAATTGCTTTTCTTCTCCACTAGCTTACATGATATCATGAGTGAAATTCCTTTGCTGTTTCCAGTTAGCTATACTGAACATTAAAGTTTTGCTTGAAGGAAATCATTTCACTCTGATAATTATCAGAATTGATAGAACTAATCCTTATATTTGGAGAAATTTTTTATTGAATTTCAAAATTTTTACTGCGTTTCATCTTGGAATGCTTTGAAATCCTGAAAACTAGAATGCTGAGAAAAATGAGTCTGCAATTATGGTAAAAGTTAATAAGAAGAGCACAGGATTGCATATCAAGATTCTTACCCTAGCTACACCACAGACTTAATCTGCGCCTATGAGAAAATCAGATATGTTTTCCACATCATTATTCCTTTTCCCTTTTCATCAAAACAGTTGAGTAAATGCAATATTATCTGAGTAAATAGTAATAAAATATAAACATGAATAGTCACATTTAAAATTTCAAAAAAGATTCAAGAATAGAAGAAGAAAGGAAACCTCTCAAATGCTAAAGTGGAACTGAATCGTAAGATTGAATTTTTTGGAAGATAAGTCAGCTTGGGACCAGGGAAGAAGAGATTGTGTTCATACCAGTAAACTCCCACTGGTCAGTTAAGAAAGTATGCCAGATATTCTCTCTGTGGAGATTCCTGTCCTTAGTTTTTAGGTGTATTAACAAAGGAGGTAGAATAGAAAGGCAGAGTAACTGCATGTAGACAATCAGCTGTAGGTGTAAAAGATATGCAGTAAACAGAAAGTGAGAAAGACTTGCGAAGAACTGGTAAGATGGCGGAAGTGGAGCAGAAGAAGAAGTGAACCTTCCACAAGTTTACCTACCGCGGTGTAGACCTCAACCAGCTGTTGGACATGTTCTGTGAACAGCTGATGCAGCTTTACAGTGCAGGGCAGCGGTAGCGGCTGAACCGCAGCCGGCAGCAGAAGCAGCATTCACTGCTGAGGCACCTGTGGGAGGCCAAGAAGGGGGCACCACCCATGCAGAAGCCAGAGGTGGTGAAGACGCACCTTCAGGACATGATCATTCCACCCGAGATGGTGGGCAGCATGGTGGGCGTCTACAACGGCAAGACCTTCACCCAGGTGGAGATCAAGCCTGAGATGATCAACCACTACCTGGGCAATTTCTCCATCACCTACAAGCCCATGAAGCGTGGCTGGCCTGGCATTGGGGCTACCCACTCTTCATGGTTTATCCTTCTCAAGAAGACACCTGGCCAATAAAAGTGCTACTGTCCTTCGCCCCTGCAAAAGAAAGTGAAAAAGACAAAACCAATATGGTAGCACATGCCTATAATCCCAGCACTCAGGAGGCTGAGGCAGGAAGATCACAAGTTTGAGGCCAACCTGGGCTATATAGTGAGACTCTGTCTCAAAAAGAGAAAGAAAATGAAAAAGGCAAATGAAGTTGACATTTCATTGGAACCTTTTTAATGTTTTGGACTTTATGTATAGGAGATTGAGTCTTAGGCAGAGTTTAAAAAGAGAGAGGGAGGGCAGAGGTAAGGGGAAAAAATGAGAATCAAGACTTGTCATGTAGAGGTACAAGATCCCAACAATGAATGTAACTGTACTGTATCCCTAAAATGTACCAATAAACTCAATTAAAGCTGAAAAAAAAAAAAGATAGGGAACCCAATATGGAGGAGAAATAATGAGTTAAAAGGTCCAGGGCAAAGCAGTTCATTGTTGAGGTTCTCTCTCTTTCAGACCATTAAGCACCTAATGGAAGCAGAGAAGGTAAAAGGATTTAGCCAGCTGGTGGTCGCTGCCAAACTGCGCGAGGGCATTTCCCACCTCATCCAGTCGTGTGGCCTTGGGGGCATGAAGCACAACACAGTGGTGATGGGCTGGCCTAACGGCTGGCGTCAGAGTGAAGATGCCCGCGCTTGGAAAACTTTTATTGGTAAAAACATTTTCCTGAATAACCTGAGAGCCCAAATAGTCTGTCATCGTAACCTTACTCCCAGCCTCCTAAAGTAGGGATTATGCCATTACTGAAACATGATTGTATAAGGATGCCAGAAAACTATTAGTAGCAAATAACCTGACTTAACCCAGCCTCTCCAGCCTTTTACATTTTCGTTCACAAACTGTTTCTCTCTGTCCAGTCTTATCCTGGGAATTATCTGCTAATTTTCCTTTATGATTTTTCATATTGATATTATTGCAGGAATTAGGATTGTCCTTCAGCCTCCAAATCCCCCAAATTTACATAAGCCCCTTAGAAATGTAGCAGTCAGAGTGTGTATGGTGATAGTCATGATGCTCAGCCCACTTCTGTTAGCTGCTCAGATTGTTCACCGCAATACCTCCACTTAGTGAGGTATCACTACAGTATACATAGGACACCTTCCTCAAAGATACAGAAGAGTATTTTCCTTGCTCTCCTAACTGGTGGGAAGTAAAGCAAGCCTTAAAGATTCTTGTCTGCTTATCCTGAATCTTTTTTTCTCCCTAGGCACAGTTCGAGTGACAACGGCTGCTCATCTTGCTCTGTTGGTAGCTAAAAATGTCTCCTTCTTTCCCAGCAATGTGGAGCCATTTTCTGAGGGAAACATTGATGTGTGGTGGATTGTGCATGATGGGGGGATGCTCATGCTATTACCATTCCTACTGAAACAGCACAAGGTATTTTAGGCAACTTTTTATTTGTATTTCTTGAAGACCTTTTACATTTACTATAAGGTTTAAAAAAATAGTGTTTACATATTCCGTGGCTTTGGTTTTTATATTTATAGCATAAGATGAACACTGAAATAGTAATGTACACAAAACAAAGTCTAGGCCAGAGTTTTACAGACCGTCTTAGATATCGCCTGGAATAACATGCTGAAGTCCACATCCAGCTTGACCCAGCAAGAGTGAAAGGTTTAATTTAATGAAAGTCTATACCAGTTGTCTCCAGGAAGCACCAGGCCTCTGGCAACACATTCTCATGGAAGTAAATGAAATGCGCTTAGAAATCATGAATCTCTTTGAAGCACAAGACCAAAGTACCCATCTCTAAAATAAAATCCAACAGAGTCAGAGTGATTTGAGGGACGTGATCCTACAAGTAGGTGAAGTACTTAAGTGTGAGTGCACAGCTTTCCCATGCTCCAACTTTGTGCTTTAATAAAAAACACATGGACAAAGAAATAATTTTAAAGAAGTGAAGGAAGTTGTGGTGGAAATATGCAATGAATGGAACAACAACATAAAATAGAAGGCAACATGAGAGACTTGTAATGAAGACTTCAGCTGTAATTAAAGAAAGGAGATGGCTGTGTCAGATTTGCCAAGGGGAAGGAAACTCTAACTGCAAGGACATAAGACTTAAGCTTCATGCTTTTGGGAAGAAATGGTAGGGCCAATAAAGAAGATAAAGGTATTTCAAAGTACTATATTGATAATTAAAACTGAGTTAATTGAATGATACCAGAAGCATGGTTTATAATATTCTGGCTTCTACCCAAAAGCCAATTCAGAACTAATATCAATATAGCACATTTGGGATTTATCGAAAGGAGAGGATGTTCAAATATGGCCCATAACTTTGGGTCAGCAGTAACATTCCTTACTGCTTATACTCACCCAGGAAATTACCATTTCCTTAAACTGTGATTTCTACAGAGACCCTGGTAAGTTTAAAAGAAGCAGCAGGTATCAGAACAATGAAGGAGAATTCCTGCTTCTTGGTCCCCTGGGCACCTTTTGACCCCCTTCTCCCTTGTGTCCCAGTTCACTAGATACATAGCATCTCCTCCCCCTTCCCTTCCCCCTCTTCTTTTTCCTCCTTGTCCTTGTCTTCATCTTTTGAGACAGGATCTCATTCAGGCTGGCCTTGAACTCGCCATATAGCCTGGGCTGGCCATGAACTCACAGCAGTCCTCCAACCTCAGTCTCCCAAGTGCTAGGATTATAGGCATGTACCACTATCGCCTGGCACATAGTTCTTCTTTGACTGCATAGTGTTGGGTCTTAGAATCTGCGAAGTAGGGATTACTCTTGGCTTTCCCAAAATCCTAGTTCCAACTTTTAGAAAAATATTTCTTTGTATTTGATACCAATCTAATTCCAAGTGAAATTCAGCAAATTAATAAAGAACCATATAAGCCCTTGCAAAACAGTAACAGTGAAAGATATTAAAGACATCTTTAAAAAACAAAGCAAAAGTCTGTCAAAGGAAGAGGTGTGTGCATGTGGGTTGTGTAGATCATACATGTATGTGCTCATTCTTTGGTAATTACTTAGATACAGCATGCCTGGTGCTGCTACTGTATTATATGAATGAAACGCCTTCTGAATGGCTCACATTGATAGGTGGATTTAGAGTTTACTTCCCAAATACATTGAGTAAGCAGTTATCTCAGCAGTTATAACAGCTGAGTATCCAGTCTCTTATTCAATTCTGACACTGTTTATGCAGAGATAGCATCTTATCCCCCAAGTTGAGGGCTCCCAAAAGACCAGTTTCCCCTTTCTGATGCTAATTGTAAGCTTCTGATGACTTGCTGTAAACCAAGCTTCCTGTGACCCCTTCCTTAGGTTGGATTAATTTTCCAGAGTAGCTTACAGACCTGCGAAACACTTTCTTACGTTTCCTGGTTCATTGTAAAGAATATTACAAGGATATAGATGAGGAGATTGATAGGACGATGCATTGGAAAGAGGCACGGAGTTTCCATGCTCTTTCTGGTTGCTCCAGGAAACATCACGTGATCAGCTTCAGAAGCTCCAGAACCTTGGCCTTTAGGGTTTTTTTGGAAACTGTATTCCATAGGCATGATTAAATCTGTTGCCATTGGTGATCTACTTACTGCTCAGCCCCTCTGCCCTCCCCAGAGGTGAGGGGTTAGGATGAGTCTTTCCAGTTAACAGGCCCCATCCTGAAGCTGCATGTGGAGGAACTATCTGTGGATCAACTCAATAGAATAGAAAGCATATCACTTGAAGATTCCACCTATTTTAGGAGTTGAATGCCAAGTAGTGAGGATGGTGACCAACTATATATATTTCATAATATCACACAAGCCATTTCTCCTTTTTTGCTAATTTTTTTTTCTTATAAAATTAAGAACTCCTTAAAACTGTAATGTGTTGCTTAGTAAATCTTTTGCCATAATAATAAATCTTTTGCCTTGATAATGAACTAAGTAGAAAGCTAGGAAAAAATACCCACATACCAATGTTCTAGACCAAAATGCCTGTGTTTTAGGAAGTAACTTCTTTTTTTTTGTATTACTGTGTCTAATGTCCCATACACATGTGGTACTTGTCAGGTGTGGCGAAAATGCAGCATACGAATCTTCACAGTAGCCCAACTAGAAGACAACAGTATCCAGATGAAGAAGGACCTGGCCACATTCCTGTATCACTTGCGCATTGAGGCAGAGGTGGAAGTGGTAGAAATGGTGAGAAAGCGCAGTTTGAGATAGAAGAGATCATCATTCTCCCAACCCCCAGCCCATCTTCTAGAACCTTTTCTACCTTGGAGATTGGTTCTCTGTTAAATGTGGGTTAACCCTGGGGCCAGGGATTTAGCTCAGTGGTTCTGCCGCTTGCCTCGCAAGTGCAAGGACCTGAATTTGATCCCTGGTACCTAAAAGAGAAAAAAAAATGTGGGTTAACCCTGGAATTCCAACAAAACCTTAAATCGTTGACCTATATAAGTAGAATACATAAATGATATGTTTGATAATGCTTTTTGGTTTTACTTTCTTGTTTATTCCACAGCCCTTATATTTAAGCCACATTCTTATAAGCTTTATATATATTTTACCAATTTTTAATTCATGCTTAAAATCACACATGATGCATTATGTGTGACAAAACAACTTTTGTGTTTCAAGGAAACATGTACAATGCGTAGAGTATTAAAAAAAAATACCCCCCCCCAAAATCATGTGTTTGTAGATAGCTCAAAAACTGAGCAAAATAAGGGTGAAAGTTAGGTTGATATAATTTTACTTTCTCTGACTTAAATTAGCGGAAATAAAAATGCGCTTTTTGTGCTTTTTCGTCCACTTTGTGTGATGACAGCATGACAGTGACATATCAGCTTACACTTACGAGCGCACTCTGATGATGGAGCAGAGGTCTCAGATGCTCCGGCACATGCGGCTCTCCAAAACAGAACGAGACAGAGAGGTGAGACTTTGCTGCACTGATGTGTCTAATCCTGGTTCTGTGAAATCTGTCAGCAAAAGGGATGATACTGTATTTTTTTCACTGTGATAAATTCTTTCCTTCTCCTTTTATCGGTTATCCCTGATGACTCATTATTATCCCTAATAGCTTCATTATTGTTTCAAAATAGTGCATGAGGAAATTAGGTAGAAAAACTGTGTTGGACCTTCCTCAGGCACAGTTGGTGAAAGACCGAAACTCAATGCTACGACTGACTAGCATTGGTTCTGATGAGGATGAAGAGACAGAGACCTATCAAGAGAAGGTACACATGACTTGGACAAAGGACAAGTACATGGCATCCCGAGGGCAAAAAGCCAAGTCAATGGAAGGATTCCAGGATCTCCTTAACATGCGTCCGTAAGTTTCCCCACACTCAGGATTACCACATAATTTAGTAGTCTGTTCAGTGGCATACATGTGACTTTACCTGAATACACAGAATAGAATCTGTCCATTTCAGCCATAGCTCTCAATTAAACACTGTACACAGGCTATCTTCTTTCTGTCCATGTACTTCATGTCCATACTGTTTGCTTATAAAATGAGCAACTGAAAAACTGAGGATATAATATCATGAGGAATTATTTTATCTATCACATCATAGTCGAAGGAAAAAAGCTCTGATGTATCAAGTTTTTAAGATTCACTATGACTAGTTTTCTTTTTTATTACCTCTGTGTCTTCCCCACCAGGGACCAGTCTAATGTGAGACGGATGCACACAGCAGTGAAGCTCAATGAGGTTATAGTAAACAAGTCCCACGAAGCAAAACTGGTTTTGTTGAATATGCCAGGACCACCCCGAAACCCTGAGGGTGATGAAAACTGTATCTTTTCCAAGAGTGGAGCTGCTAGTGGGGGAAATCTTAGCCTGTTTCTTAGATGAGACAACCAGGTAAGTTTAAGCTGTTGTTTGTCCCCTAGTTTCTTTCTTTGAGGAAGATTTTAAAGTCTTAGGCAGATTTTTATAAGATTGTAAGACTCATTAATCTCCTTTTGGGAAGTTGGAAGTATATTCTCTCGGGACCTTAAGAAGTCTTTTTGGGTGGTATATTTGCAACCAGATTTGGACTTTTCAATGACAGTCCTAAAGGCAGAATATATCCTTTATCCTTTTCAGGCTCTGCATACTCTGAAAAGCCTCTTCTTGAAGTTAGGGGAGAAGCAGTGAAGGAAAAAGATTTAGGGGATTGTTCATACTCTCATCCTAAGATTTTTGTTTTCTGGGGTTTTTTGTTGTTTTTTTTTTAGACAGGGTCTCACTATGTAGTTGAGACTGACCTGAAACTCACTATGTAGTCCAGGTTGATCTCGAACTCACAGTGATCTTCCAGCCTCAGCCTCCCAAGTGCTGGGATTACATCGTAGGATTTTAAAATGGGAACCTTTCAGCACTGTAGCAACATGGACTGACCCGTTCTTACCAGTCCATTAAGAAAAAATTTTAAAAAGAGAAAATGAAGAATAGGCAGAAAATCTGACAAGTAGCTTCACTTAGATGTTGCTTAGATGTTCTTTAGGGTTCTTTCAAAGTGCCCTATTGTGACTTCTTTTGCATTTTTAAAAATCTTATTTCATTATTTAGAATAATATATTATTTGTGGGGTTCCCCATTTCTTAGCAACATTTAGAAAATAACTAATAAACCAGAGTTTGTAGTGTATATGCAGAAACTAGGTCCCTGGATTACTTTGCTGAGTTAATTAAAGTGAATGTAAAATTCAGACTTTTCTGACTATGTACATAATTAATGAGAAGCATGCTGATTATGCAGTTCTGTGATCAAATAACTCAGATTATGATGATGCCAGTTTGTAGAGTATACTCTTCTGCCTGTTTCCTTGACAAATTCTGAAGATATGGAGTTCCTAGAAGTGCTCACTGAGGGACTTGAACGAGTTCTCCTTGTCCGGGGTGGTGGCAGTGAAGTGATCACCATTTATTCATAGTCTACTCCTAAATGACTGCTTGGTCTCAGCTTTCGTAAATGGCTTCCATCCTCCATTGAAGTGACAGCTCTTTCTTACCACTCCCTCTCAACTAGAGGCCCATGTTTTATGCCCATCTCACTGAACTCTTGATGAGCTGGCCTCAAGTCCTTGTGCAAGAGTACAAATAGATCATTTTTGGCCCTTATATGATCTGACAGAAGCAGCAAATATTCCCTCAACATCAAGAGAATTATCAGATCTTAAAAGCCATTTCTTTACCAGTAGACAAGTCAAGAAGGCAAAAAAACAAGTTCATATCCAGCATTAAAGATCAGTCTCAGAAATCATGGTTCAGTGGTTAACACAGAGGAAACAGCTAGATACTCAGCCTCACCTTATTGAAGAATTCATGGACAATAACATGGAGACCTCTTGTCCTTGTGAAGATAACTCATGGCAAGCTGAGATGGAAACTTTTTAGCTATTTTGTGTGTGTGTGTGTGTGTGTGTGTGTGTGTGTGTGTGTGTGTTTTTTCCTGTATCTACTGCTCTCTAGGATGCTTTAATTTTAAATTGGGGTACTAATATTCAAAACCTGAAACATGGCTGCACCGTTTTAATTATCAAGATTCCAGGACCAGGGATTTAACTCAGTGGCACCACACCTGCCTTGCAAGCGCAAGGTCCCAAGTTCAATCCCCAGTACCAAAAAAAAAAAAGATTCCACAAAGTACCAGGTTTAAGGATCTATATTGTGTCAGTGTGTATTTCAGATGTTTGTTTCTATCAACTCAAAATCCATTCTGTGATTGTAAGAACACAGGCAATTTTACCATGGAAATTGTTTTAGTAAAAATTCCTACATTCTTTTCATACTGCTGGACTAAGGAAATTTCAAGGAGTGGCTGTTAAGATTTATAGTTGGGCGTAGTGGCACATGCCTGTAATCCCAGTAGTGGGGAGGCTGAGGCAGGAGGATCGCTCTGAGTTCGAGACCAGCCTGGGCTACTGAGTTCCAGGTCAGTCTCAACTACATAGACCCTGTCTCAAAAAAACAAAAACAACAACAAAAAAAGATTTACTAAAATAGAGTCTGAGGTATCTTTGTGACAAGGGCAAAATATACATGCTGTTACATATGAAATATAGGTCAGGATGTATATCAGTGGATTCTCCTCCTTTTTATGCTGTTATGAGGCACAAGTCAAAATATATAAACAGGATGACTGGCTAAAATCATCCTTTAAAGGCTTTGGACCGTCTTTTAAATGGGGAATTGACCTTTAAATGGGAATTACTAGAGCCATTCTCTTTCCATAGTGCCAAAGTTATTGAGCTGCTACTCTCCTTATATACTTAAAGTAGCACAAAGACTGACATTGGCCCAACTCAAGAAACTTTTTTTCATTAAGAAACTTAAGGCCTCATCTCCAAAGCCATAGTTAAGGCTTGTCCAAAGTAAGAGCATTTTCTGTTTTCTTTTTTATTTAATCCGTCTGCAAAAACTTGACTCTGAACTGAGACACTCCAAGACAATAGGCTTTTGACGTTTAAGGTTTATTTTCAGAAAGTTCTAAATGTGCCAAGGAAATATTTGAGCAAATTTGGCTTGTATTTACTAATGTACTTGTCGCAAAACACATGGCTTACCAGCATAGGGAAACTACTGTGGGGCTGAGCAATAATTTCAAGTATGTGAAATCTTCATTTTTTTTCCAAGATAGGATTTAAGAAACCACTTTCTTGCCTGTATGTATTTATGGCTGCTTCTAAGTTTCATTTTATTAATGATATATAGTGCCACTCTTTGATTACCTAGTAGGATATGCAACAAGCTGACTCTTAACTGTCACGGGTAATTATTTGACCCACAGGGACAGAGAAAACCCTTCAGTATAGCTTAAGGAAATGAGTCATTTTGATTTCTTCCCTTTGCTCTTCTTTCAAACTCTAAGCCCACTCAGGGTAGCAACACAGACAGGACCTTAAGAGTTTTTTTCCCTTCTCCTTCCTGCAGAGGGTAGAAAGTTTGTTTACAACTCCCATTGTAACACTCCATTGTATAGTTGAGTATAGTGACTGACTCAGCATCTTAAAGACCCATACCCTCTAAGTCAGCCTGCCTAGGAATTGGGCAGCATTTACACATGCCCCTGGCCAAAGTGCTCCATACTTTTTTCCACATAGGATATATAAGCAGAAAACAAGGTTAATTTTAGAAGTACTGTTTGTGGGTGGCACTCTATAAGAAATGTTTTGAAGAGATAAAGCCAACTGGTGGCCATTAATATACCCACGATTTGGGCCAGGGATTTAGCTCAGTAGTTCCACCACCTGCCTTGTGAGCACAAAGTCTTGAGTGCGATCCCCAATACCAAAAAACAACAAAATATATGTATAGCCATAATTCCAGTCCTAAAAACACACAATTGCTGTTACATGGAAAAATGGTTATTAGGCCAGATTTATACTCAGCCTTGTCTAGAGCATTTCATGTCTGTTGTTGCTTGTGTTGTTTGTCTGCCAAGTGTCGCCTCTTAATCACTGCAAATAAAGCAATACTGAAAACTTGAGAGAGAATGCACCTTAGGGGAAGGGGCTTTTGGTTTCAAGAGGGAAGATGAAGACCTTCTGCCTTTTGCAAAAGACCCAGCATTTAAGTCCTTCCTGTGACTTTACCAGGGCAGGTAATAATACACATGCTGGCCTTCTGCCTTCCAGAGCTCTTAAAAGCTGGAGTCTGAACTGCAGCGTCTGCTCTGCAGGTGCCAGGTTCCTGTTGGCAGGAAAGATTACTGCTCTTTATCTTGTTGCCTCTGATTCTTGTGGCCCCAAGGATTCCACCAGTCCTCATTCCCCCTACACGTTAAAAATTCCTTATTGTGGGTATTAAGTAACAGTTAGACTGTAAGCATATTTATGTGCTTTTTTTTCTGGTTTATTTTCTTCTCATCATGTATAATTTGAATACAACATTAGTTCTCACATTTTCAAGTGTCTCCAAAAGAGTATGTACTGGTGTGCATTAAACAAAAGTAAAATATTAAGGAAAATAGATTTAAGGGAAACTTGTGAAACTTTTTTAAGCATTGTTCTCAATCATTTAATTTATTGAAAGGAGATGCTGCTATGCTTCTTGATTTAGCAGCAATCATTTGTTTTGTTTACATACAGTTCTGGTTTTATTTGTTGTTTTGCTCTGTACTGGAAACATAAATAAAGTTTTCTACATTATTTTCAGTCAAGGGTTGCAGTATAACTTCTTCATGTTTGTAATAAAATGCACGTTGTCTTTCTGGGACCTGTCTCCTCGCCATGGAGAAAAGTTTTTTGGTTCTTTTCATTGTGAATGTTTATTTTAAGAGTTATTACTTAGGAGACACTGGGTTTGAGGAGGAAGTAACTGAAGCCTAAATACTTAGGCCCTGGGTGCTTCTTCCTCTAGTTCACAGAAGCAGTCCTCCACCGCTGAACTCCATCCTCTGAAAGAAGGAACAGTGAATAGGTGAGTAGTGAGTGTCCTGAATCTGTTACTTAATACTCCAGATTACAAGTTCTACTTTGCCCCAAATCCTTCCAGACTTCTAATAGCTTTTATTAGTTAATATTTATTATTCGAATACTAAATGAAATCTCCTACCATCAAATGAATCAGCTATTCACTGCACAGCACACTGCCCAAAATCCAGCTTTTCTTTTGCCTTACCTCAGGGGGCTCAATGAAGGCTAGCCAGTCTGATGCATGTGTGGGCAAGAGCCCCATGGACTGGCACTTGTAAACAGCCAGTGCCAAACCCATCAGGTTCCCAATGAGATAGACCAAACCCTGAAGAAACTTCTGGCTTGAACTTTCTAGCATCTTGAAAGCTGTTGGAGTAACAGAAGCTGTCAAAACCCAAACAACTTTTTTTCCCCAATATGAATCAAGGTAACCATATATTAATAGAGACCCCAAGCCCCAAGTAAGCAAATAAGGCCACTAAAGGAAAAGAGAAAACCATCATGAGCACTGTTTGCCCCTCAAAGCTACCAGTAGATCTACCACCTATACAACCTCTAACCAAGAACTACGCCTAAGAATTTGTCTTTAGTTCTTAAAACTTAGGGAAAAGTTATTTCAAGAATACTTACTGGCTGAAATGGCCATAAGTGCCTGAATGGGTCGCCAGGCCATCATACACACCATCATAGTTGGGAAGATGGAGATAGTATTGCCTGCCATGTACATGATGAAGAGGTTCATGGGAATTTGTTTGAGGGGACCCAAGGCGATATCCCAGCAGCGCTAAAACAGACACAGAGCTTTAAACTCTTATTAATACCCTCAATCCCGTATTAATCACTGATGCTAAAGTCAAATGAACAGAATTCCCAACACCTTGCTTCTGACTGAGCTAACTCCTTAATTTCACCACCTCTTCAGTCACCATGTCACCATAGGAAGGTCTTTTATTGAAGATAAAGTAGACTTTCCCTAGAAATTTTCCATTTCATTTTTTCTTATGATTTTGGCTCAAATATTTCCCTATTTTTGTCCTCATGCTTCTGCAGCTATCACTGGTTCCTTCTACAACTGAAGAAAAAGATAAATCCACATACTAGGAGATTAGCACACCTCAATCAGTAACTAATAGAACAAACATAAATCAAAACATAGAAGATGTGAATCACGTAGCACTGCACCCAATAACTGCTGAATATACTTCCTTTTCAAACAAAAAAAATCAAACAAAAAAATGAAACACTTGCTGAGCCATGTAGAAAATGTCAAATCTCATAGAACCATATTTGACTAATGCAATTAAAAACAGTGTAAGATAAGAAAATCCCCTATGTCTGGAAATTAACAAATGTGCTCTAAGTCTTGAGTCAAAGAAATTACAAATGTAAAGTGACAACTGGTGACAAAAATGCACATCAAAACTCATAACAGGCTGGGGATTTAGCTCAGTGGCACTGCACCTGCCTTGCAAGCACAAGGTCCTGAGTCCAATCCCCAGTACCAAAAAGGGAAGAAAAAAAGTAACATCAGGAAGATGCCACATTAAAATTTGTGATAGGTAGAACTGAGAAATTTATAATCTTACATATTAGAAGACTAAAAGTTTGTTTCAAGAAGCTGAGTATTTTGAAAAGAGTAAAAGAAATTAATGAAATCAAAATCAAAGGTGTCATTTTGAAAATTTTATAAAATGAATACTAGCAAGAGCTTGATAATGAAAAAAGAATGATTTAAAGTGAGGAAGGAAGCCAGGCTTGGTGGCACATGTCTATAGCCCCAGCACCCTGGAGCCAGAGGCAGGAGGAGCACTACAAGTTCAAGACCAGCCTAGGCTGCATAGTGTGACCCTGTCTCCCGCAAAAAAAAAAAAAGATGAAAGAGATATATTTACAAATCTTACAGATACTAAAGTGAACATATTATGAGCAACTTTATACATTTGAAATTTTTAGAAAATAAATTACTAGGGAAAAAATAAGAGCAAAATGTAAGAGATCAAACAATCTGTGGCTTTCTCTGTTTCTGTTGTTTCAAATCATTTCATTATACACTACTGGGGTAAGTTTATACCTTGAAATGTGATTTTTTTTTTTTTTTTTAGGGTTAAGAACTATATAAATGTTTTTTTGAAACACTTTAGAGTTGTGTTACCAAAAATGCTAGTAGTTACGTTTAGTGGCTTTGTATTTGAAAGACTTTATAGATTCTGCTCAATTTGCAGTACATTCTTAGGATGTATGTAATAAAGCTTTCTTTAAAATTAAATAAATAAATGAAATTAACAAAAGCAGTCTTGTAATATTAAAGAATCTAAATATATAATTAACTCTAAATGGCTTCCCTTGGCAAATTTTAAGCATTTAAGGTCAAAATAAAGCTAATCTTACAAAAACTCTTCTAGAAAATAAAAACTACAATTCATTATATAGGGTCTCATAAATACCAAAACCTAAGGATATTATGAGAAAAACTTTATAGGTCAGTGTTACTCATGAATCTAAATCTAAAAATTCCAACAAAATATTAAAAGTATAGCTATATAAAAATATAACCACTGTTGTTTGGTTTACTTGTATTAAGATAAATGACAAATTCTTATAACAGACTTGTAAAAAATGTGATATATGATAATCTACCTTTAATATTAGGTCATTTTACTAGTAATTTGCTTGCATGTATTCACACCCTTTGTTGTGCCAAGGTGAAAAATTACAGGATAATACTTATCAAGAGAAAATTTGAAGCTGGATATGGTGGCGCATGCCTGCAATCTCAGTACTCTGGGAGGCTGTGGCAGCAAGACAGAAAGCTTGAGCTCAGCCTGGGCAACTTAGCAAGCAAGACCTTGTCTCAAAATAAGAACAGGGACTGGGGATGTAGCTCAGTGTAAAGGCTCTGGGTTCAATCCCCAGGACCAAAAAGGTCCAAAAAGGAAAGTGTAAGAATTGATAGTGGTTCTGTCCTTTTCAGGTTTTGTAAATCACATGTACCCCATGAAACAAAGATCATAGAGCACTGTGCAATATTAAGGCTGACAACTGAAAAGGAAAGAAAAGTGCCAAGCACCATCCAAGGGACTTAGGATACATCAAAAATCCTGATCTCATGGGGTATACAAGAGAGAGCTGGGCCAGGGATGTAGCTCAGCAGCACAGTACCTGCCAGACAAGCATAAAGCCCTGAGTTTGATTCCTGATACAAAAGAAAAAAATGCTAAAATCATTACATGAGACAGAAAGCAGATGAACAATACAAAGAATAGATAACATATTCCTATCATGTATGAATGATAGAGAAATAGGTAAACAATGCCATAAACTAGGCTTCACTAAGACATTTGAGATCAAACAGAGATGCACAATAAAGTAATGCTGGTATTTAAATGGAGGAAAAGCACTTCAGGAACAGGGAAGAACAGATACAAAGCCTGAGATATCACAGGAGCTCATCTGGCGTCTTTTAAGGAGAAAAGAGGAAACCATTATAACTAGAATAGAGTTAACAAAGGGAAAAATGTAATGATATCCAAAATATTATAAAGGAATTGATCAATGAGAGTTAATACAGAACATTATCTAGGCTTTTATGATGAATGAGCTACAGGAGAGTTCAAGTGAAAATCATATTTTAAAAGGATCATTCTAGACCAACATAGTAGTGCATTCCTGTAATCTTAGTACTCTGGAAGCTAAGGCAACTTAGCAAGAACTTGTCTCAAAAAAGGCTGGGGTCGGGCGTGGTGGCACACACCTTTAATCCCAGCACTTCGGAGGCTGAGGCAGGAGGACTGCTGTGGGTTTGAGACCAGTCTGGGCTACATACTGAGTTCCAGGTCAGCCTCAACTACAAAGTGAGACCCTGCCTCAAGAAAACCCCTCAAAAACAAAAACAAAAGGGTTGGGGCTAGGTATGGTGGTACACAACTGTAATCCCAGTACTTGGGAGGCTAAGGCAGGACTACTGCAAGTTTGAGGTCAGCCTGAACTACACAGAGAGAGCCTGATTAAATAAAAAAAATTAAAAAAATAAAAAAGGCTGGGGATATACCTCAAGGCAAAGACCCTAGGTTCAATTTCCAGTATGGAAAAAAAAATCATTGTTACTGCTGTGCTATGGTTTCATGGGAGTATATCATTGTTAAAGCTCATCAGATTGTACCCTTAGTTTAGAGTAGTGGTGGCAACCTATGGCACGCATGCCATGCCGCAACAGGCACACAGAGCCCTCTCTGTTGGCACACAAACCAAACTGCCCCAGCATCACCCCAGCAGTGGAGCATCAGTTTGAGGCCAGCCTGGGCTACATGGTGAGACCCTGTCTTAACAAACAAACAAAAAACTGCAGTGTTGGCACTTTACAATAAATAAGTAGTAAGTAAGTGCGTTTTGGGTTGTAGTTTGGGCCACTAAAGTCTCCAAAAGGTTCGCTATTGCTGATTTAGAGATTCCCAGCTGACAGCAGTTTGTCTCCTGGGAGACATTTGGTAAGACTGGAACTATTTTTGGTTGTTGCAACTAGGAAAGGCTACTATTGGCATTAAATGAGTATAGGCCAGGGATACTAACCATCTGCACAGTACAGTTCCCCACAACAAATAGATATTTACCCTCAAATGGCAATAGTGCTTAGATTAAAACATGTTTTAGTTGAATGCAGATTACACACAAACTATACTCAAAAGAACTGATATATGTATGTACATGATTTATAAAACTTTATTGCAAAAATGTGGGGATAGCTGAGACCATGAGGATAAGTGAAGGCAGTAGGAAGCAGTAATAGAATTTGGGAGCTGTTTTGTTTTTTTGGACAGTGTCTCTGTAGTTCAAACTGGCCACAAACTCCTGGCAATCCTCCCGCCTCAGCCCCTGGAGTCACTGGATTACAGGTCTGGGCTCCAGGCCTGGGATCTATTTCAAAGGTAAAAGCAGAATAATTTGATAGATTGGCTATGTGGTGTGAAGGACCCTGAATAGAAAAGGATGATTTCAACTGGAAAGTGTTGCCACCAAGAGATCATCTTTAACCTACTTCCTTATATGTCTTTTATTTTCCTATTAAGGACTTCTTGAGCTGATATGTAAACTACTGTCACACTAATATCAAGCAGTTTAAGCTCCCAGAAATTCAGTTTTAAATCTATCTACAGTACCTCTCCCTGAGAGAGGAGGGTGGATCAGGCCTGGCCCAAGGACTATGGTAACATCTATACCTCTGTACCTTCTCCACCAGGATCCGGTCTGTCTCTTGAACACTGGTATCAGGCACTTGTTTGTCCAAGTAACCGACTGGGTACAGGGAATCTCCCTGGCCACTGCCTCTGTCACTTCGGCCCCTGAATAAAGAACCAAAACAAGATGCAACTTTTCAAACTTTATATCCCACATTTCCCGTTCTAATAATCATAGAAATAAAGATCTTCAAGATGCACCTACCCAGATTAGATCAAGCTATCTCGTGGCTCCGCCAATCCCTTCCCTATTGGGAGGACCTAAACGAGCATCCTTAGAGAACAGAAACCTCCCCCTGGTGACGTATGTACGCCACCCAACCTTTTCAGAGACTTGTGTCAGAAGCTCAAGTCCCAAGTGCAAGGACCCGCATTCGATCCCTGGTACCAAAGAAACTCAGGTCCCATTACTCTGGGGCTGTTCTGGGGTGAAGGCTCTGATGTGGAGCTCAGCCTAAGCGCCTTACCGGCTGCCTCCTCCGGGCCCGCTCAGCTCAATGGCCCACTTAAACCGTCGCCCTCGGTTGGCTACCAGGCCCCCTTGGGCTGTCATGGCGACCGCTGTTTCTTAAAGCTGCGGAGGTCCTCACGCCGAAAGGTACCTTTGTCGCAGGCCTCACCCACTGGCTTCACCCGGTAGAACAGCCGCCTGTGCGTCGCACTCCCGAAGCACACTTCCGGCGCACTAATATAGACATCACTCTCGTCCGGAAACTTGCTGTTGGGAGAATTGAGAAGCGAGTACTTAGAAGAGCGCTGGGAGAATTGTAGGCGGTCTTTCTGTCTTCCTCTCTCCCTACCCGCCCCCCCCCCCCGCTTTACGGGCAGAAGGGAAGTCTCGTACTGATGGTGTGCTAGGAATTGAAACCAAGAAAAACTTGTTTTTAAAAAATTACTACATTAGTTCAGGCTTTCGGTACATCACTAATACATTCATTATAGGTCATGACACCCCTTCCCCCTTCCTTCTTCCTTATTCCCCTTCCCACTTGTCAAAGATCTATCTCCCTATTGCCTATTGTCTAATTTTGCTTTTTGATTTTGGGTCTCGTGTTCCAGGACAGCGTTGAACTCACTACGCAGCCCAGGCTGCCCTTAAACTCGCGGTCCTCCTGCTTCAGCCTTCAAGAAAAGCTTTTTGAACTCCTATGTGTTCCAGGAACAACAAGTTGAAATACTCACTTTGATTCCTGGCTTCAGCACTAATTTTGTGACCTACAGGGAGTTATTTAATATATTCAAAGTACTGTATGTCTACCGCATACCTGGAGCTTTGTGTTCGTTTAAATTTAACTCGCAGAGTAATCCAGCCAAGCACAGTTTCATCCCCATCCCACACGCCGACAACATGGCCTTGCGAGAGTGGAAAGGCACACAGGATTGGAATTCATATGGGCTCTTTTCTGAATCCTGGCTTCATCCCTTAATTGTGTCGCCCTAAGTTAAAGCCACCGTTTCAACTTCTTCAAATGTAAAATTTAGATCATCTACCTTTGAAAGTTTTTGTGTAATTAAATTATACTTGCTATGTATGCTTGACTGTTTGAACGTCATTAATAATCTGCATCATTTGGTTTGTACTCAGTTGCACACCTATAAATAAACCCAGCATAAAGCCGAGCGTGGTGGTGCATGCCTGTAATCCCAGCACTCGGGAGGCTGAGTTAGGGGGATTGCTGTGAGTTCGAGACCAGCCTGGGCTACACAATGAGTTCCTGGTCAGTCTCACGACATAAGTGAGACCCATCTCAAAAAAACAAAAAACACAAAACAGCATTGCACATTACTTACACCCCCATTATAACCAATGCACCCTCTTTATAACCAATGATACAGTGAATATCCTTGAAGTTTCTTATTTCCTTTAGTCTTAGAATTGCTAATTGTACAGGTTTTAAAAGAAATTTCATTTAAAATGCCCAATAGAAAAAAATGGTATCATGTCTAGCTGTATCCCCAAAGCCTCATGTGGTCATATGTGTGACTTTTTCAGGGGTGCATCTAGAGTGTGATTCTGGGATTAAGGATGTGTGATTACTAAGTCAGTCCACTGATTGGCTAGGCACTGATCTAGTCCTGGTAGCCTGGATACAATATAAGGGACAGAAAGAGGCCTGTCTTCTCCTTTGCTTGCGTGCTTTTGCTGTCTTCTGCTTCCCATGAATTGGCTTTGCTCTGTGATGCCTCTTTACCAAGCCACCTTGCCTTGGAGCCAGCCAATTACAGACTGAAACCTCTACAAACTGAGCTGAACAAACCTTTTCTCCCTTAACTTGTGGGTGTTGGGTATTTTGTCTCAGCAATGAGAGAAAAGTAAGGCATTCACATTCTAGATCTTTATAAATGTTTTAAATTATCAGTTCAAAAGTGGTACTGTATTAGTTTTTAAATTTGTGTTTCTTTAACTCCAAGCTATTTGATATAGGTGGAGGTTGATTGCAGATTCTGAATATTTCCACCTCTGCCTTGTTTTGTTATTTTGCAAGTATTATAAGTTCATTGCAGACTGAGTAAGTCAGAAATGGAAAAGTTTTTCCCCATCCAATCCTAAAATGCATGCCTGTTGGATCATAGGAAGACTCAGCATATAGATTGCTTTCCATGTTTCTTTCTACTTTTATGCCTTTAGCACTTTGTCTCTGATGAACCTTTGAGAGTCATCCCAAGCTTTCCATAGGGCCCTGTTGCTCAGTTTTCTCTGTGCCACTATAATCTGCATAATAGCACTTAACCAGTTTGAACTGTTTGTTCTCTACCATATACTACGTAAATTCCGCCTAGTGGGGATTGAACCTAGAGCCTTCACACTGAGTGACATCCTCAGCCCAGTTTTCATTTTTCAGACAGGATCTCCCTACATTGCCCAGGCTAGGCTGCAATTCATGATGCTCCTACTTCAGCCTCCCAGAGTACTGGGGTTACAGGTTTGTGCCGCCAAGCTCAGATCCATACCCTAAATTCTCTGAAGGCAGAAACCATATGCTATTTACCTTTGATTTTACAACCTATTGCCTCAAACAGAAAGTACAATAGTCCTCCATTATCTGTGGGGGATACATCCCAAGACTACCAATGAATGCCTAAAATGCAGATAGTACTGAAACCTGTACATACTAAGTATTTTTCCTATAAATACATGCCTAGGATAAAGTTTAATCTATAAATTAAGCACATTAAGAGACTAACAACACATTAAAATAGGACAACTGTAACACTGTCCCACAATAAAGATGTAGTCTTCTCAAAATACCTTATTGCCTTGTACTCACCTTTCTTTCTACTTTTCAATACTGGAGATTGAACCCAGAACCACCACACAGAGCTGTATTCCCAACTCTTTTTATTTTTTGAGACCAGGTCTTGCTTATTTTTGCAGGTGGGACTCAAACTTGTGATTCTCCTGCTTCAGCCTCCCAGAATCCCAGAATTACAGGTATGTGTCCTATGCCCAGCCCCCTTTACTTCACCCATCTGTTATGATATAAAATGACACAGTAGGGCCGAGGATTTAGCTCAGTGGTGCCACTGTCTGCCTTGCAAGCATGAGGTCCTGAGCTCGATCCCCAGTACCAATAAATAAATAAATAAAATGATACAGTTCCTAGTTGGTGAGATCATGGGAAGTAAATGACTATGTACATTCAAATATTTTTGTAGTTTGAAGCATGACAGCAAAAACTAGCACAAATTTCTTTTTCCTTCATCACGATTTCACAAATTTGTTCCCACTGAAGATCTCAGCAAGCTCAGTATGCAATTAAAAAAAATTTTTCTTTATGAAGTTGAGTGAGCTTCTCACTTGAAGTGTGTTAGAGCTTCTCTTTGGTGTATCAATTTACCAGCATTGTTTTCCTTGCACCGTGGGGCCTTTGTTAAGTAGAATTAGGCTTCCTTGAACATAAACAGTACAGTATGCAGTCAGCCTCATAACCTCAAGGGGTTCTCAGCAGATATGCTGGAAGAAGGGATGGTTCATGTCCAGAGTAGAATAGAGTGGGAGAGCAAGAGATTATAATCATGCTACTCAGAACAGCATGCAAATGAAAATAGGAATTGTTTATTTCTAGAACATTTTATGTAATATATTCAGACCAGTTGAAGCTAGGATAACCGGACAAATGCTGGTAACAAAACCACAGAAAGCAAAACTGGGGGTTGGGGTGATGAAGTGAATAAAGGTTTAACAAGTGTGATTAAATTAATTGGAAAAAAATATAAAACTGAAGTATGAATATACTGTAATTACACTTATGTAAAATAAAACATTTAAATCATGATATATAAAAATATTAACATTTTATTGGGGTAATTGCTTTCATGAAATTTTGTCTAATAGTCAAGATACTCTAGTTATACTTTAATAACTGAAATGAGCACTTTTGAAAATAGTAAGTCATTCGAATATAAGTTCCTTGTATTTAACACATTCTCATAATTGCTCTAAAGAATTTAAATTATAACTTGATACAATCACTTTAGCTTCAATGGAGTTCTGTTGGACATTTATTCTTTTAACTTAGGAATCCTCAGAGTAATTTGCTAAAGTGTGCCCCATGCACATATACTCCTAGAAAAGAGGTTCAGATTATAGACACATACAGGAGGCTGGGTGTGGTACACACACCTGTGATCCCAGCACTCTGGGCAATTTAGTGAGACCCTGTGGCAAAGTGAAAAATAAAAAAGGAGTAGGAATATACCACCACCACCAAAAGATTTCAGATTTTTAGAAATGTGCTTTTCCTCACCTTTTTTCTATTTCTCTGCATTGTGTAGGTACTACTGTGGGAGTTAGAAAGATACAGTTTTTAATTATGCATGACATGATTCTGTACCTAGAAGCATAGTGGGGTTCCCTGTTCTGGACACACATGAGAATCAACTTTAGAGCCCTTAAAAACACTGATGCCCATATTCCATATTTCCAGTTATTCTGATTCATGTGCTCAGGATAGGATCTGTGTGTCAGTGTTTTTATAGCTTACCAGGTGATGCTTCCGGACAGCAAGTACTGAAACCACTGACTGAAAAAATGTTGTTACTCTAGAAAAACAACATTTGGGTTCTCACAAAATAATTCAACCAACAATTTTTGAGTGCCTCTGTGTGTCTCTGCCTGGACTAAACAAGACTTGGAAAATGACAGGAATATTGAAACTGTAAAATAATTATCAAATTTCCCTTTCAATGAGAAGACAAGCCACAATTCCATGGCTCAGATGTGCTGCCTTGTTTTACTTTTATAGTTTGGGACACCTGTACAGTTTTGGTGTTTATTTTTGTATCTCACCCTCTTTGAGCCCTTTCTAGGAGTCAAAGAAACTATTTCATCGCCTTTCTTCTCTGAGTAATTGCATTTGGATTGAAATCTGAACAAAAATTTTTTTGTACAAACAGATTTGCAAGATAGATTCACTGTGGAGAATGAAAAAGCTTTTCCAGGAACATCTTGGGTTTTTGGTCTACATCATATGCCAGTGTCTGTATCATAATTCTCCCTGGCTGTCTTTTCCAGTCTGACCGGTTTCCCCAGGACACTCAAGGGCTCCTAAGCGTCTTGGTAGCTCCAATAAAATGGTTTCACATAGCAAGCCCTAGTCGTTTTAATTCTATAGTCATTATGGCCTTCTGAAAAAGCCCATCAAAAACTATGTCAAAATTTATTCTGTATCAGTAGTGAGGTCTTAATAAGAGGGAAAT